CAGGCCGGGATAATCAGAGTATTTTTTACGAAACATAACAAAAAGCTGGAACAAGAAAATGAATTTAGAAACACACGTTTAGGCCGCTCAACAATTGTTTTAAGAACCTTGTAAAAATAAAATGAAACTACTGCTAGTATCATGGTCTTGCCTAATCCGAGTATTTCAGATATATTATTAATTTGTACTAAACCAAAAGATGCCGCTCCTAGTTTATGATAAAGCAATTTAAAAAATAAAACGAACGTAATTTCTAAAGCTGATGTAATAACCAAAATGCTTAATATTACTGCTATTCAGAATCGTCAACAATAGATTTTTTACGGCTGTAATATTTGATAGATGTCTAGAGAATTGCACGTGCGATGGCTATTTATAGTATCATAGACTCTTGCGCAAAGTGTAATCGCACCGCGTGACTAGCCACGAATCACTTCGAGACAAGCCACTGAAGCGTGCACATTCGCCGTGTCGAGTTGAACTTTCTGTAGGGAAAATGATCGGTACATGGGGGCACCCTAATTATGGTTCCCATCAAACATTCACACAACACGTTTTTACGGTGAGTACTAGGCGTATCAAAGGACATTTTTAAAGTAAATCTACTTTAGTGCCTAAAGAGTGTGATGATAAATCGTTCAAGACAAATATAAAAATATTAAAATTATAGTCATCATTCATAATTCATCTCTATTAAAATTGTATCTATACACGAATATTACATCATCGTTCAAACTTTTAATGTGAGAGACAGAGAAAAAAAAATGGGGTTTAACGTCCACTCGAGGGTTTTCTCCGAGTCCTCCGATTTCCTCCTACTGCTAAAGACCCCTACGCGCAAGCGAATTATTGATATAAAATTGAACGACATGACCTAGTTTATGTCGAGTGGACGTTAAAAACCATCTCTCTCTCTCTCTCTCTCTCTCCCCCTCTCTCTCTCTCCTTTAAAGTAATGGCTGATGAATGTTGTCTAGTGTAGATTTTTACTACCACAGAATAATGACCTAGCGTGTTGCGACAAAGGTGAAGACCAGTCGAACTTACGAACCTGTCCCTTCATTCGTCATCTGGGGTACAGTACATCGCAGAATTGAGGTATACAAAATGATAAATACCGTGACGAGTTTGTATCTCCGTAGAAATGAAATGAAATAGGGTTTAACGTCCTACTCCGACAGGGCTAATGAAGACGGGCATACGCCATACAGTGTGCTATAAGGAAAATTTTGCCCGGGCAGCGGCACTACGGCCTACTCTTTATTTCAATTTTTAAAATGAAATGGGGTTTAACGTCCTACTGTTCTTGGGGGTCACGTGGCTAAGTGGGTAAGACGCTGGCTCGCTAGCCTGGAGGTCAAGTGTTCGATCCCTGCATTGGCCGAGAAAGTTCATCCAGATTTTCCGGCGTGGTTTCCCCTTGTGAGTGTTGCAGGACGGAGGGCCTGACAAGGACAGCTGTCTAGTCGTTCGGATGGGACGAAAAACCGAGGTCCCGTGTACAAATTGACGTGCACGTAAAAGATCCCTTGGCAGTTGGAATTCGATATAAGAGTAGGCCGTAGCCCCGCTGCCCGGGCAAAATTTCCGTCATAGCTCACTGTATGGCGTATGCCCGTCTTCATTAGCCCAGTATAGAAGCAGAACAGTAGGATGTTGAACCCCATTTCATTTCATTTCATTTCATGTCAATCTGCTGTAATAATGAAGATCAATGAATCCACTGATCGACATTAGTAATTTCTGCCTTTCGGGTATGTTTTTTTTTTATTGATTTTGATTTATTACGTCATTGTCTATATAAATGCACATTTTATTTAAATTTGACATCAACCTTCAACTGCCTGACAAACGTAAGTATTCCTTTAAGTTTTGTGCATATGAAGAACTTAGCAGTCCCGGTAGGGAATTACGTCTCTTTATTCGGGTGGGGCGAAAATCCGAGGTTCCAACTGAAATTCGAAATAAGAGAAGAGGTCGTGGCACCGCTGTTCGGGTGAAAATTCCCTCATAGCATACTGTATAACATAAATAAATGATTTTGGTATTGGCAGCTCTGGCGGTTAGAGTTATGTCCCTTGTAATTCTGGGGGTCGGATGGCTGAATGGTTAGCGTGTGCGCGCTGGATCATAAGGCCTGCCATTGAATCAACTGGCGTGACAAGGAGTACGGTGGCCTGTCCAGCCTCCATGGGTTTTCTCCGGGTCCTCCGGTTATTGAAATAAAATTAAACCATATGTTAGTCCCGAAATGACCTAGTTTGTGTCGAGTGGACGTAACTATTTTTATATCGACGGACCAAGAACTACAAAGGAATATAATTTTCGTTAATATGTTTGGATATTATGGAATTATTTTAATTCCGAGGGGTTATTTGCTGTTGATATTTGAAGTTTGTTTACATTCATATTTCATGCATACTCCTCGCAGTGTTTCGTTTGATTAGAGCTAATCCCACTACTCACTACTGTAAAGAATACAAATTCTTGTTCTAAAATTATGAATGGTCAATAGTCCGATAAACAGCCAATAGCTAACTGCGTAACATTATCATTACGCTTTAAACAGAGCTCCAAAATGGGCCAAATATGTTTACATAACGTTACGTCATGACACACGATTTTATTATGCTCAATTAACCAGTGCATAGCAGAATATTGCAGAAAAACTAATTGTGTGACAAACGAGGCTATCAACACGGATATAATTTAACAATACTGTTTTAAGACGAACAACACTTTCGCCATTTTTAATACCTTAAATCACTGTCCAAAGTTTTAGGGAAGATCCTGATTAAGCGAAGGGCTGTCATGTTGCTGTGCTTGTGGATAGATTTTATTGAACGGGAAGAATAGACACACTCCCTCAAAAGCGCAAGTATTCCAGCAATGGTCAGAGAGGGATTTCTCGGGCCATTGCTTCAGGAATATGTATTTCATGTGGCACTTTTCAGATCATGACTCCTACTAGTATTACACAATGTTATTATCTGGGTTACATTCCTGATTGTCTTTCAATTTTGAGTAAGTCTGTATCAATACAGGCCCGGGACTGTACAGCGCAGTGGACGCTTACGGCTAGCCCCCGGTTCCATTCACTTAATTAGATGTGTACGTTTGTTTGTGATTTCTGCGAATTGTGTCCGTAGTTTTGTTTTGTGTAATTGTGTGTGGCACAGTCTCCCTGCACTTACCATTAAGTAAATGTTGACTAATCAATCTGAATACATATCTCTCACATGTTCTGTCTGGTTTCCAGAAGAATAAAACGCAGTGGATTGTATATTTATATCACAACTAATTGTCAATAAATACCTACCTAAGGTTCCAATCAAACCTTTCCGGTATTTCGCCCGGGTGTGAAAACCGGCGTGAACAGTGGGAATCTGTTTCGAGACTGTAGTGAAATAGGGGTGATCCGTTTCAAGACCGTAGTGAACCCGGGGTGATCCGGGGCGAACAGTGTTGATCCGTGTGCTGCTGCAAAAGAGAAGTCCATGGCGGTTTCGTTGCACAACCAATGACGATCGTTGCACTATGCCGTCAGTCACTGCACCGGAAAAAACTGCATGGTGAACCATGGTGAACCTGCACAAACCGTAGACAAACCGCGGTGATACCATGGTTATAGGAAAGGGCAATTCGTGGTGGCATCGTGGTAACACCGATGATGACCGTAGCACCACCGCGATTCACCACGCCGGCACTGGGAAACACCGTCGCTCTACTGTGGTGAACGGGTCGCCTCGATAAACTTGGACAAATCGCTGTGATACCGTAGTGGTATCGGGATTTACTGTGACCTGCCGTGGTCGTAACCGTAGTAGTACCGGTTCCTATCATGAACTAAGCTGCTTTCGGGCCTAAATGGTCCTGGTTTGCACCTGTATAAGCTTTAAAGTTCAAATGACATCTAGTTTATCAGCCGTGGATCGTTCAATCAGTTTTTGTGTTAATTATTTAAACATAATTTATGCAAGAGCTAAATCTGCCAATTGCAGGTATTTCTTTAGGCCTGAAATGTTATGTAAATTATTAACTTATCCAGACCATAATCAACCCTCGATGTCATCGCTAGATTGCGATATTTACTGGATTATAATTCGATCTGCTGCTTAACGCGCATTCATGATTAAATCAAAAAATGGATAATTGATAGTATGTTTTTTTTTATCGTACCGACTTTAGTAATGATAATCGAGCCTAGGCCGAAAATTCGTTCGCTAAATTCTCGGTTCAGAGTGGATCAATTTGACTGACATTTTCAGCATATTGCCTTTACATTATTTAGTTTTTAACTATTATAGTGAGAACTGCTAGCTCTTTATCTAATCTCCCATTATGTATCTTGACGGGGTTAAACAGGGTGACTCTTTATCACCTCTTCCATTGTTATTGTCCGTCAATGACTTTAACGATATGAAGTATTCAATTGGGCGATAACTTTTTCCAGTATGCCGATTCATTTTTACCCGTGGCCGCGCATCCGTTACAGTCTATTGCGCTAGGCGGAGTCAGTTATCAGTCAGTTAGGTATTAAGAATAGACCTATCTGTTTATCTATTAATCCATCGAGGATTAGTGTGGTCTAGAGTGTAGCGCTTCGAGCCCTAGCTGGCCGGTGACCTCTGACTTGCGGTCGTCATTTCGCTCCCTGGTGTGACCATATGTGGCAGGGAGATGGGGCGCCTTCTCAACCTCGTGGGTTTACTCCGGGTACTCGGTTTCTGTACACGGGAAAGAGCCCACTGCGTGCGCTAACATAGTACAACTGGCATCAGGCCTCGTCCATCTGATAATATTACATCCTTGGATGCTGAAGTGATTATTCCACTTCCACAATAGGTCTAGGCCTAGCTCAAAAGTCCACGACAGAGAAAATATATATGGTTAATAAATTTAAATGAAAATTTTTGGATAAAATTGGAACCCAGTGTATCTGTAACATTAGTAATTTTATCAATTTTATTTTCTTCTTGGCAGGTGACAGCCTTGCAACCATGGGGTCATTTTGTCTCGCCATTTTGGTGGCTATCTGTGTTTTCTCTGCACATGCTACATGTAAGTAAAAGATTTTCATTGTAAATATGTTATCCCCGTAGTCATCACGTACCTGTCTAACTATTCAACATTTTAAAACTCCGTTTAATAATGTAACATTTTATTCCTCCGTTTCATAATTCAACATTTTATTCCTCTGTTTAATAATTCAACATTTTATTCCTCCATTTAACAATTCAACATTTTATTCTTCCGTTTAATAATTCAACATTTTATTCCTCCGTTTCATAATTCAACATTTTATTCCTCTGTTTAACCATTCAAAATTTTACTCCTCCGTCTGATAGTTGCTATGGTAATCCACATGCGCCGATAAATGTTGGATAGTGGATTTTTATTCCACGTATAGTTTCTCATCTTTTTGTGTTCTATCTACTGACAGATAAGGGGGTTTAGGCGAGTTACCTCCCTTGAATTAGAAAATTGCTTTTAGACCTCGCTTATATAACCCAACATGGATGTATACTTATACTTAATTTGATATGTTCGTTTGTTTGTGATTTTTGTGTATTGTGTCTTGTCCGTAGATTTGTTTTTGTATAAATTATGTGTGGTGCAGCCCCCGTGCACTTACTATTAAACACATCTTAATGTGATTTTGTTAAGGGGGTGTCCACGTTATGCCCACATTTGCGTCAAACGTAAATCCAAAGCGGGAAAACAACTTAGGTACCATCATATAATTACGATAGTAGTGTCACTCATCAATCATAGGTACTGGTTGTTTTAATGACAAATGAAATTAAATGAAATGGGGTTCAACATCCGACTGTTCTGCTTTCTGCTCTGGCATTTTGAAGACAAACCGGAAATGGGGTTTGACATCTTGTTAGCACAATGCTTACGTTATTTTTAGACTAACATGTGTGCAATGCTGATTGGGAGAAGTTTGCTCGGTCTAGTCTCCCTTGAATTTCAATTGTCATGATGGGTTATTTTAAGTGTGCATATACCAATGTCTACATTGGTGGGGTCCGATTTTCATCACAGTCTCGCAGTGATGGACAGACTTGAAAAAATCCGAAGGGTCTTTTCGACCCTCACCCGGATTGGAGTCCGGGGCATTCTATTAGTAGTCAACATAAATAACAGTAACATAGAATTGACAACATCAATCGGATTAAAACACAGATCCTATTTCGTTTCGTTTTTATAGTTCAAATTTTCGTTTTACTTGTCTTTACTACACTGGGATCCGGAAGAGTTGTTATCATTGACGTATTCTGAATGGTGTGAGGGCTTAGCTACTGAAACGGTCTGTTACGGTGAGCTTTTGCGTGTTTTGCACGAAACTGTGAGTAATCTATTAGTAATATCAATGCTGATTGGTTAATCAAGATCAATGTCTGACGTCATAGGGTCAAAAGCCGCTCGTACGACCGGTCAGATCTTTATGTAGTGTAGGCCATCGAAAGTATAAAAAAAACGAAACGAAATATAGATCTGTATTTTAATCAGATTGGTAAAATATAAAATTCGGATTATTCTGTTTCAGTTTACAAGCCAGCCGAGCTTCCTGTTAACGGTAAATGATTTTAGTATATCTTCGCTAAGACACGGAAGACCATTAAGGTCAATCAAGTGAGGAAAAAAAATATTTGATTATCTCATAATTATGAGGTAACTATCTGGTAATTACGAGATAACTATCTGGTAATTACGAGATAACTATCTGGTAATTACGAGATACCAAGATATTTAGTGTCACTTGATTGCACCTAATGATCTTCCAATCTGATATTTAAAAAAGAACATGTAAGAGATTGGTTGGGGGGGGGGGGGGGTCGCAATGGTTGGATCAGAAGATCTGTCATTGGGTCAAGTGGCGTAGTTTCGATACCTCGACTGTCCAGTCTCTTGGGTTTTCGCCGGGTCCTTCGGTTTTCTCCCACTACTAAAAAACCCTATGCTCTAGCCAATTATTGAATCTAATTACGAGATACCCTAATGCACTTCCAATCTGATATTTAAAAAAAAAAAAAAAAAAAAAGTACAAGTACGGGGGGGGGGGGGGGTGCGTTGGATCACAAGATCTGTCATTGGGTCAAGTGGCGTGATTTCGATACCCCACCTGTCCAACCTCGTGGGTTTTCTTCGGGTTCCTCCCACTGCTTAAAACCTCTATGCTCTAGCCAATTTTTTAACCTAGTTTGTGTTGAGTAGACGTTACCCCCCCCCCCCCCACTCTCTAGCCAGTTGGTATTACATCACATCCTAATGTTTGCCAATAACGCATTAGGATGTGACGTCACACAAAGAACTATACTGCGTGTGACCTTAAAAGTCAGTCATTTTTGTACAGTGGTAAATGAAAGCCTTCAAACTGTGTTAGATGCACTGTTGGACAAGTGCACGATACCCGTTTTAGCAGATTTGTTTAGGGATAGTTTAAAGTAAGAAACATTACAGAATTATGAGTGCAAATCTTTTGAGACTAAAGTTCCTCCAACACTTGTGTTCATATAATATGTCTTTATCGGCCACCGCCGTCTACAAAAAACAAGCAAACTGAAAATGAATTTGTTGAAGAGTTATCTTTGCTTCTCTCTAAGAATTCCAAACGGAATGTTGTGCTACTTGGTGACTTTAACATTCATTACAACCCAAATTCTCCATTTGTCAAAAAAGTCGTCAGAATCTTAAAACTGCACGATCTTCAACAACATGTTCATCAGCCAACTCATAAAGCAGGCCACATCCTTGATTGGATTGTCACTCGCCAAGATTGCACCTTGATAGAAGACGTCAACATAAGAGATATACAGATCGCTGATCACTACCTGATATCTTCAAAATGGAATTTTGAAAAGCCCCAACCCGATAAACTGTTAAAGTCTATTGGAAAGATACGATCCATTCAGTTTGACGCTTTCCGCGCTGACCTTGCTTCATCTGACCTAGTTTTTAACCCTCCTCAAGACCCAGATGACCTTGCTGTCCTGTACAACACGACGCTGCTCACCAGCCTGGACCAGCATGCTCCAATCGTTACATCACAACAACTCAAATTACTACCTGATCTGAAAATCACCATTGGTAATTCAGAAATAAATTTCTCCAAAAATGTTCGAAACCTTGGAGTTATATTTGATCCTTCTCTGAAAATGGACACTCAGGTTGATATGGTATGCCGTACATGCTACTATCATCTACGTTGCATATGCAACATCAGAGACTATTCCACTGCTGACGCTTTAAACTACTTGTGAGATCACTGATTTTATCAAGGATTGATTATTGTAATACATGTAGTTTACTCTATGGAATCCCACAAGCACTTCTAGCCAAGATCCAGAAAGTTCTTAATACTGCAGCCCGAATAGTAACAAGGACACAGAAGTTTGATCACATCCGGAATGCGCTAGCTTCTTTACACTGGTTACCCGCTGAGGCGCGAGACAAATACAAAATACTAACACTAGTGTATAAATGTCGCAATAATGCAGCTCCTCAATACTTATCTGAACTCTTATATGACTACAACCCTATTAGATCACTTCGCTCTCAAAATAAACAGTCACTAGTTGTTCCAAGATATAATTTAAAGTCATATGGGTATAGGTCGTTCAGTTCAGCTAGGCCTTGATTATGGAACGAACTTCCACAACAGATCAAGAATCAACAAACTTTTAATCAATTTTAATCCGCACTAAAGCCTTTCCTGTTTCGACAGTTTTACCAGTAGAGCCATTACTAAAAGCGTTTTGAGCATGTGTCAACATGGGGAAGACGCTATATAAAACCTCATTATTATTATTATTACCAGTAACTGTTTTTTTGTGTTGTGATATAAATTCAGTTTAATTTCCCTTTGATCACTTGTAATCTATTGTTTGTTTTCAGTTGGTGGTGGTCCGAAATTCACAAACTATAGTAAGTATGAATTTTCTTAAAGGGACAATAACACTCTTGCTGGCTTGACAGGTCCAGAAAATAAAAAAAATAGCCTTATTCTAAGTACTAGATGTGTTAGTGTCCTACCTGTTGTGTAAATTATCCATTAAATCCTATTTTTAAGTCCAAGTCACATTTGAAAAGCTTTACGTCAGGCTTTTCAAATCATTTAGTTGAATTTTTCCAATTTTTTAAATTAGGTGTGTTAAGATGAAATTTGTATCATCAATTAATTGGAATATTGTAAAATAGTACAATTTGTTGACAAGAATAAATATTGGGACATATTATTCAGTTACAACAAGAGTGGTATTGAGCCTTTAAGATTGTGGCGGTTTTATTGGCCTACGTTCATTTACATTTTGCTATATGTTCCCTTGAGCATTTAGGGTTCATAATATGCGACGTCACTGTATGTGTCGTACAACTAATGATAGCCATGGTGATACACCCCACCCCCTGCGACCCTACTCCTTGTCACGTACAACCGGGGATTCGAAACCACGCCAGTCGACTCAATGACAAACTTTATGATACAGCGCGCGCACGCAAACCATTCAGCCATCCACCCCACCACCCCCCACCAATGCCAATGGAGGCTACAAAGATTTTCAAATAAGGTTTCCTTGGCTTAGAGTGAAGCAATTTGACTGAAATTTTCAGCGTAATTCCTTTACAACATCTAGTTTTTGACTATTATAGTGATAACTGCCAGCTCTTGATCTAATCTTCCATTACATATCTTTAATGTAGCATCCGGGGTCGGATTAAGGGGGTGGGGGCTGTGCCATAAATTAATATATCATGTTATGTAGCATCGAATAACCAGGCGTCTCTAAAGACTTGATAACCAGACGTCTATATAGTCTTGATAACCTTTTCTTATCCTTTCAGATCCGATTAACAGAAACGTCGATGGTGAGTAAAACATTTTATAAACAAGACTTCCTTCATCTACATTTAAATAAGATATTAACTTAAGCCTGCCTCACAATGGGGATGCATTACCCTGGTGACACCTACGCACCATGTACTTCAGATGACGCAACTGGTTACGGCCGTCAGTTCTAGACAACACCACTGCGTTACGAACATAAACAGGGATCTTTAACTAATTTTGCACAATTCTTGATAAAGACCCCTCATCTTCAATAGAAGACTTGGTCATACTTTAGCCCCGAATATCTTATCAAGGCCTACACGTAATACCCTGGGTATTTCGGCACTAATTTCGACTGGGTATTCACCCAGCATGAGAGCCTATCAGATTCCTCGATCATCGCGTACCTGTGATAATCGGGTTCGTCCAATTTTAAGGTTTCCGTGGAAGCCGCTATATTTGATTTTAGTGTGTTTGTGTTACAATCTCTGATTGGACGCTACTGTTCACGTGTGTAGAATAAATGGAGGTAACATGGCTATAAGTTGGAGAATTGTAAAGTAATCTACCAACGTCTAGTTGTTGTAAAACATCGTGGTCGCTGCTTCATGGATAAAGAAATGAAATGAAATGAAATGAAATGGGGGTTAACGTCCTACTGTTCTGCTCCTATACTAGGCTAATGAAGACGGACATACGTCATACAGTGTGCGATGAGGGAAATTTTGCCCGGGCAGGGGCACTATCGCCTACTCTTATATCGAATTCCAACTGCCAAAGGGATCTTTTACGTGCATTCCAATGTATACACGGGACCTCGGTTTTTCGTCTCATCCGAAGGACTAGACAGCTGTTCTTGTCAGGCCCTCCGTTCTGCACCACTGACAAGGGGAAACCACGTCGGAAAATCCGGATGAACTTTCTCGGCCAATACAGGGATCGAACACCCGCCCTCCAGGCTAGCGAGCCAGCGTCTTAACCACCTAGCCACCTCATGGAGAAAGACTAGAGAGCTTATAGTAATAAGGAGTAGTGGATCGAATCGTGAACTGTGTATGAATATTGAAAACTGGTTCGCTTGTGTGTGTGTGGACGTCTTCATTAGCCCAGTATATGAGCAGAACAGTAGGACCTTAAACCTCATTTCATTTCGCGGGGGTTGGATGGCCGAATGGTTAGCACGTGCGCGTATTATCATAAGGCCTGTCATTGAGTCAACTGGCGTGGTTTCGAATCCCCGGTTGTACGTGACAAGGAGTAGAGTCGCCTATTCAACCTCGTGGGGTTTCTCCGGGTCCTCCGGGTCCTATGGTTTCCTCCCACTGCTAAAGACTCCTACGCGCAAGCGAATTATTGAAATAAAATTAAACCATATGTTAGTCCTGAAATGACCTAGTTTGTGTCGAGTGGACGTTAAACCTCATTTCTCTCTCTCCCTCTCTCTCCCTCTCTCATTTCATTTCGTCTGTGTGTGCTCCGTGTTGTTTCGTATTGGACCTAAACATGTCGACTGTTGAAACCACAATCAACTGTATATGGGCTCTGACTCAGTCTATATACCTAATTGGTTAATCCTCTGTTTCATCTTTTAATGGTATATATAATAAGCTGATACTAATATCTACGATAATGCACCTATGTTACATCAATAGCTTGTTATAGCTACTCATGTTCACTCTCCCTGCATTCCATTGGATAGTTCGCACTGATGTTTGTATATATATATTCTTTCTCATTTTCTATCTATCTGTGTTATATGCTTGATAACGACTTGTGAAATCTTGTTGAAACATCACAGTGAAATAAACCATAGTAATTATTATCCATAAATAGTGTGTTTTTGATTTTGAAAACCTAATTGGTGTGGACATATATCTGATACCAATTAATAAATTGCATGTAATCGAAACAATTTTCACTCATACCCCAAAACTTCAAACAATGATAACTTCGCTTTGAATACAATTGTTTGAATAGAATGTTGAAAACATTCTATTTTAGAACTATCACGAACGAATGTATATGAATGTATATAAACGCATTTGCATTCAATCGTGTTTTTACTGTAATTTCTAATCAGTTATGTTCGGTTCAAATTGAATGTCAGTATTTGGCGTCTGGTTATTCCAGTCTACGTCAGTAGTATTCTTCTGTGGAATACGTTTAGCCTCATTTATCGAATCGATTCATTATAATTGGCGCTCGAAAGCATTCTAGCACGCGATTTGGGTGTTTTTGATTTTGAAAACCTAATTGGTGTGGACATATATCTGATACCAATTAATAAATTGCATGTAATCGAAACAATTTTCACTCATACCCCAAAACTTCAAACAATGATAACTTCGCTTTGAATACAGTTGTTTGAATAGAATGTTGAAAACATTCTATTTTAGAACTATCACGAACGAATGTATATGAATGTATATAAACGCATTTGCATTCAATCGTGTTTTTACTGTAATTTCTAATCAGTTATGTTCGGTTCAAATTGAATGTCAGTATTTGGCGTCTGGTTATTCCAGTCTACGTCAGTAGTATTCTTCTGTGGAATACGTTTAGCCTCATTTATCGAATCGATTCATTATAATTGGCGCTCGAAAGCATTCTAGCACGCGATTTGGGTGCCAATTTTAAATTTTTCATTTTGTCTTAAATACTGGATATCAGAAGCCTATCTTTTCATGGTTGATTTAAATTGACCAATAAGTCATGCTTGCAATGGCGAAAACGTTGGGTGATATTGAGTTAGAGACATTCCTCCTTTAAAGCCTTTCAGGGTTGATCGGTTAATCGCTTTGAAAAACAGAATCTCCAATTCATTTTTGGCGTAGACATTCGCCAAATTGACAAACACCTTTTACAATGCTCTAAATGGGCCTACATTGTTTGCTTGACACCACCATGCTTTTTATATACTGATGTTTTAATTTCAGTTCTTGGAATCCAGTCTCAGAAACGAATAGACAGTGAGTAAAATAAACAAATAAATAAATAGCAGTATTGCATAATAGCATTACATTCTATTAAATTAAGTAACAGTAGGCCTGACATACCTAGCAGTATTACATTACATAGTAGTATTATATTACATTACATAGCAGTATTATATTACACTGCATGGCAGTATTACATTATATTACATAAGTAATATACTATATGCAATACTGATAGCAGTATTATATTACATAGCAGTATTATATTACATTGCATAGCAGTATTATATTACATTACATAGTAGTATCATATTACATTACATAGCAGTATTATATTACACTGCATGGTAGTATTATATTATATTACATATGTAACATACTATGTAATGTAATACTGCTAGTTATTTTAGGCCTACTGTTAATTAATTTAATAGAATGTAATGCTATTATGCAATACTGATAGCAGTATTATATTACATGGCAGTATTATATAACATTGCATAGCAGTATTATATTACATTGCATAGCAGTATTATATTACATTGCATAGCAGTATTATATTACATTACATAGCAGTATTATATTACATTACATATCACTACAGTTCAGTCTTGTAAATGTCGTGTCTGGTCGCGTTTTATTTATTTTATTAGATCGAGTTATTGCAAATGTTTCTCCTGGTCGAGTCGAGTTTAAGTGTGGTTTAATGGTAAAATTAATATTAATGCGTAATATTAAACATGCATTATGCAAGAGCAAAATTTGCTTATTACAAGTCTTTCTTTAGGCCTGAAATGTTATCTAAATTATCAATTAGACATTAATTAACTTATCCAGACCGTAATAAACTTTCGATGTCAAGGCTAGCCTTCGATGTTGACTGGATTAAATTCTTAAATGTCGCTAACGGCCGTTGATAATTAAATCAGAAAAAGTGGATAATCGAGACTATGCTGTTTATATTAATGATTTTAGTAATGGTGACCGAGACTATGCAAAAATTTCACCCGCTTCTTTCTCGGCTCATAGTGGATCAATTTGACTGAAATTTTCAGCAAATTACCTTTACACTATCTAGTGTTTAACTATTATAGCGAGAACTGCCATCTTTTTTATCTTATCTCCCATAATGTATCTTTAATAAACAACAACTCGTGACTAATTTCACTCGTGTTGTTTCAATATATTGCTTAATGTCTTAAGCTCGAGACCATTAAACAACTTAAAATACAGACACTCGCACGTGCTTTGCAATGAAATACGTCACACGGGTCCAATATCTCAACTAGTATAAATAATGTATGTTTGGCACATTGCCCGTGCCATTATTTGAAATAATGGTACGCCAACATCAAAGGATGACGTCACATCTGTATTAATTTATTGATTATATCGAGATATTGTCAATGCCTGACCCAGTTTAATGTATTTTATTATAGATCGAGTTACTGTAAATGTTGCGACTGGTCATACACATGGACAAGGTAAGAATTATTATATTTTACCGCTTGCCAATGGGGGGGGGGGGGCGTGACTCCAAGCTGGTACTTTATAAGCTCGTGGGTTTCCCACAGCTGCTCCAACTGCTGGGGGTGAATGACCGAATGGTTAGCACGTGCGCGCTGTACCATAAGACCTGTCATTGAGTCAACTGGCGTGGTTTCGAATCCCCGGTTGTACGTGACAAGGAGTAGGATCGCCTGTACAACCTCGTGGGTTTCCTCCCACTGCTAAAGCGAATTATTGAAATAAAATTAAATCATATGTTAGTCCCGAAATGACCTAGTTTGTGTCGAGTGGACGTTAAACCCCATTTAAGCTGATGTCGCCATGGGTCCCGAAGAGATTTTTCTTATAGATCTTTGTGGAAGTTAACCGAATATACGAAACGTAGTTGATATTCGGTATCAATGTTAGACAGCAGACTATAACATGGTGTTTGTCTGGCTTTATTATCTCGGTTGGTGCAAAAAATTAGAACGTGTAGCCCCATTTAATCCATTTAATGGTATAGACACATTTTCATTTTTTCAGGCGCCATCGAAGAAAGACGCGGTGGACGCGGTAGAACCGGGGGACCCGGTGGACCTGGAGGACCTGGTGGACCAGGTGGGCCAGGTGGACCAGGTGGATCAGGTGGTAGTGGTAAATATGAATTTGGATTTGAAAGACGCGGTGGACCCGGTGGACCTGGGGGACCTGGTGGACCAGGTGGACCAGGTGGTAGTGGTAAATTTGAATTTGGATATGAAAGGCGTGGTGGACCCGGTGGACCAGGTGGACCAGGTGGATCAGGTGGTAGTGGTAAATTTGGATTTGAAGGACAAGGTGGGCAAGGTGGTCAAGGTTGACGCGGTGGACAAGGAGGCCAAGGTGGTCGCGGTAAATTTGAAATTGGTGGACGTGGTTGGCGCGGCGGACAAGGTGGACGCGGTGGACAAGGTGGACGCGGTAAATTTGAATTAGGTGGACGTGGTGGACAAGGGGGACAAGGTGGGCGGGCAGGACAAGGTGGGCAGGGAGGACAAGGTGGTCGTGGTAATTTTGTACGAGGTGGGCCTGGGGGACCAGGTGGGCCTGGGGGGCCAGGTGGACCTGGTGGACGAGGAGGGGCAGGCGGTAGTGGTAGATTTGGAATTAGTGGACGTGGTGGACAAGGGGGACAAGGTGGACAAGGAAGACAAGGTGGGTGGGGAGGACAAGGTGGTCGTGGTAATGTTTTGGTAAAAGTTGTACGAGGTGGGCCTGGGGGACCAGGTGGGCCTGGGGGGCCAGGTGGACCTGGTGGGCGAGGAGGGGCAGGCGGTAGAGGTAGAATTGGAATTGGTGGACGTGGTGGACGTGGTGGACGTGGTGGACAAGGGGGACAAGGTGGGCAAGGAGGACAAGGGTGGCGGAGGGGACAAGGTGGTCGTAGTAATGTTTTCCAAGGTAGACGAGGTGGGCCTGGGGGACCAGGTGGACCTGGTGGGCGAGGGGGACCAGGGGCACCAGGCGGTAGGGGTAAATTTGGATTTGATAGACAAGGTGGGCAAGGAGAACACGGTGGTCGTGATCTACATGCAAGAGGTGGACAAGGTGGGGGCCGTTGGGGCTCTGGTGGGCCAGATGACCAAGGTATGTATGATCCTACTGGACAAGGTGGTAATCGAGGACATAGAGTGCAATTGGAAGGTAAATAGACTTTACGTTACCTTTAGGGTACTGAGTGACATTCCATTAAAGATGTATTATGTAAAATTTACATCAAGGACTGTCCGTTCTTGCTAATAGTTCAAAAAATAGATAATGAAAAATGAATATATTAAAAAGTTCTGTAAAATTACTTTATTTTGAGCGGAGATATCCGTGCTTGAAGTTGTAACATAGATTGTCTATTGTACTTGACATTCGAGACTAAGCCTCGATTATTCATTTTTAAATTCAATTGTCAATCTCGGCCATGCGTATTTTCTAGAGAGTTGATTAAGGGCTTGTCATATGATTAAATATGTAAATAATAATTTATGTATCATTTGACGCCACAATGAATACCTGCAATAGGCATATTTAGCTCAGAGCCACGGTGGCTAAGAAGGCAAAACGCGTGTTCGATCCCTGCCTGCATTGGCCGAGAAAGTTCATCCAGATTTTCCGACGTAATTTCCCCATGTCAGTGGTGCAGGACGGAGAGCCTGACAAGAACAGTTGTCTAGTCGTTCGGATGTGACGAAAAACCGAGGTCCCGTGTATACAATAGTGCACGTAAAAGATCACTTGGCAGTTGGAATTCGATATAAAAGTGGGCCATAGTGCTGCTTCCCGGGCAAAATTTCCCTCATAGCACACTGTATGGCATATGTCCGTCTTCATTAGCCTAGTCGGGGTGGAACAGTAGGACGTTAAACCTCGGTTCACTTCGTTGCTAATTATCTATAAACAACATGGGGGTGGGGTGGAAGAAGAGTTTACGCGTGAGCGTTGCATCATAATGCCTGTCATTGAGTCAAGTGGCGCGGTTTCGATTCCCTGCTTGTATGTGACAAGGAGTGGGTCGCCTGTCCAACTTCATGGGTTTTCTCCGGGTTCTTTCCGATTCCCCCACACTGCTAAAGACCACTACGCGAAAGCGAATTATTGAAATAAAATTGAACCATATGTTAGTCCCGAAATGACCTAGTTTAAGCTCTAATGAAATAAAATTGAATTGTATGTGAGTCCCGAAATGACCTAGACTGTGGACATTAACACAGTGTGCCTCTATTATATTTGTTCAGGTGTCCATTGCGAAGAAGATGATGATGAGTGTCGTAAGTACAGTTTTGATGATTTTCCCAAAACAATACAATGGCTTTTAGAATTCTAAGAGCCGCATCAATGACACGACTTGCGACTTGATTGCGACTCGTGACTTGAGACTCGATTCGGACTCGGCAGTCGTGACAACTCGCGACTTGAAAGGGCTTAGGACTCGAATCGCAGCGAAGGGGCATAACTCTAACCAGGCGCGGATCCCCCTCTATTTTTTGCGGTGGCGAACAATTTTGTACCCGATATATTCTCGCGTGAAAGGAATTCAACTGTCAGATTAGGTTGGAAATCGTAATTCACTTGGTTGATTGGCCATCAGTCCGCCCCCTCCCCCTTTCTGAAAATCCTGGATCCGCCCCTGCTAACTTACCGTATCTTATTCGCCATGAATTGCTGACTCATTTGATGACCTGGCGACTTGAACGGGAACCGCGCTTTGTGAAGACTTGGGATTCGACTCGGTACTGAAGTCAGCAAGTTGGGACTCGACATGGACTCTAGATGCGGCGACTTGGGGCTCGACTCGGACTCGAAGTCCGGCAACTTATTCCAACCTCTGCTACTTTCCTGCTTCAATTGGATTAGTTATTCTACCCGCATTGACTTCAGTTTTATATCCATGCCATTCCGTGGCCTATATCACTTTCAAAGAGCTCTAACATGACGTCACAAGCATCTGATAAAAATATGGAAGAAGGTGATCTGTTTTCTAGGCCTGGTGAAAGTAAATTGTTTCAATGTCATTTAGTAATTGAACTAGAGTAAACAGGTCACAATTCTATGGAATACAGTTACTGCTTATTAGTGAGCGGGGATAACGATGGCTAAGTGGGTAAGACGCTGGCTCGCTAGCATGGAGGTCGGGTGTTCGATCCCTGCATTGGCCGAGAAAGTTCATCCAGATGCAGTGATGCAGGACGGAGGGTCTGACAAGGACAGCGGTGTAGTCGTTCGGATGGGACCAAAATCCGAGGTCCCGTGTACACATTAACGTGCACGTAAAAGATCCCTTGGCAGTTGGAATTCGATATAAGATTAGGCCGTAGCATCGCTGCCCAGTTAAAACGTCGCTTAGTAATAATAATAAAATAAAACCATGTACGAACAATCCAAACCATAAGACAGAATTCGAAGTCCTAAATAAGCAGTAATTGTATTCCATAGACTGGTAAAAGTAATTTATAGGCCGAGACGTCATTTTAGTAGGCCTATATAGGCTATAAACTATCCATGCACCCCAAGATCATCAATATCCATTTTATATATTTACACTAAATAGGAAATATTTATTTTATCCAGATATACTTCAAACACTGTTATATATCTGTCTAATAGCCGACTTTAAAAATAAAATGTTTTAGAATTTAATTTACTGAAGGCAAAATTAACCCGCACCGATGTCATCTCTCCCAGTGATTGTAGCGGACTGGCGAATATTCACTTCTGACCAGTTTCATCCAAAACCCTTCCGGAAATCGTAATTCAAACATTCTTCTCCGATTCTAGATAAAACAAAACAGAGAGAAGCGTGAAATCAAGGGGGGCAATTATTAGTCCATTTTAATGGTCTCTTAGTTGAATGTTAAAACTTATTACAATCTGATTATTTCGTTTCGTTTTTTATAGTTCAAAATTTCATTTTACTTGTTTTCACAACACTATGATCTGGAAGAGTTGTTATATAACACAGATCCTATTTCGTTTCGTTTTTTGTAGTTAAAATTTTATTTTACTTGTCTTTACTACACTATGATCTGGACGAGTTGTTATATTACAGGCGTTCTGGTTGAAGCGCGAGATTAGCCAATGAAAAGGTCTGTTACGGCGAGTGGGTAAACCAGTAGAAACGTCAACGCTGATTGATAACTCAATGTCTGGCGTCATGGGGTCAAAAGCCGCTCGTACGACACTTGACGCGAACTTCCAGTATAACCGGCCAGATCTTCATGTAGTGTAGGCCATCGAAAGTATATAAAAAACGAAACGAAATGTAGATCTGTATTTTAATCAGATCAAACTTATTATGGAAGATTTAGATAAAGAGCGAGTCGTTCTCGCTATAACAGTTTAAAATAGGTAATGAAAAATAAAAATTGAAAATTTTAGTCAAATTAATTTAGTCTTAGCGTTGTGTTCTAATCCAATTAATATCTCAGCCACCCGATGGCCTAGACAGTTGATCATGAGCCTGTGAATATATGTCTAAATACTAATTTGTATAGATTTGAAGCCGAAAAAAAGACCTACAGCAGGCAGATTTAGCTCTTACATAATGCATTTTTATACGATGAATTAGTTATGTATACATGTGCAGTTAGTGCTAAATGATAAGGCCAGCTAAATTTTTCGTCATAGGTCACGAGATGTAAACAGGGCTAGCACTAATCTCAACCATAACCCTTACTCTAGACCCAATGCTTACCTTACCCCTAACGTACTATCTCCCCAACAATCACGTGCCCTAACATTATTTATATCTCAACGACCTTGACAAAAATTGAGCTGGCCTTAAGAAATAGATTTAGCCGTCCTAATAGATGTATTTTTAATGTTGTGTTGTATCATTTCAGGGAGGAGACATTATCGGCGTTAAAGGGGTGAGTAGTTTATTATTATTATTTATGGAAATGAAATGAAATGAAATGGGGCTTTAACGTCCTACTGTTTTGCACCGAAGTGAGCTAACGAAGACGGGCATACGCCATACAGTGTGCTATGAGGGAAATTTTGCCGGGACAGCGGCACTACGGCCTACTCTTATATCGAATTCCAACTGTCAAGGGATCTTTTACAGGCTAGCGAGCCAGCGTCTTACTCACTTAGCCACTGTGGTCCCCCATTTATTTATAGTGCGCAATCTAAGCACAAGTCCCAAGCAAGGTATACGGCTTGCTTACCAATCTTAAGGCCGTCTGCTTCAATCAAGATGGCTGACCGTATAGAGTTATTCGACGGCATTTCCTACACCTTTTGATACCAAAAAGATAACTAAAAGACAGAAAATCCTTTAGAAACATAATTATTCTCGAGAAGCGGAGAAGAATATAGAAAATTTCGCTTCTACCCTGAAACCATTTTATTTATTTGCCAATTAGTAAACAACACAAACACGGGCTACTTTAAGATCAGGCGCTCTCACAATTATTCCGTCTGTTTGCATGTGCTTTCGTTTTATTAACTTGTGGCATATTTTATATATAGGGGTGACAGGGGTCTAAATCGAACATTTGTCGACCACTTTAGGACGCAATTCGCATACCAAAATTGTTTTTATGACGTTAGAGAGCATCGTAGTCTCAGTTTACCAGTCACAATGTGCTTAGACTCTTACTTGACTTGTGCTTACGTAACAACGGTCTTGAGAATTTTATAGAGACGGTATTTTATAAAGTTTCTTACGTAAGCAAATGTAAAGCATGACTTTGTGCTTACTTTAAGAATTTTCTAGGAGCCGGGCCCTGGTCCCGTCTTCATTAGTCTAGTAGGAGCAAACCAGTAGGACGTTAAACTCCATTTCAATTCATTTCATTTTGTTAAAAGCCTGGTTAAATAAATGTGTTATTAAGTTGTTGGGTTTTTTTTTTACAAAGAATACAATCTGATTAAAACACAGATCTTATTTCGTTTCGTTTTTTATAATTCAAAATTTCGTTTTACCCGTCTTCATGTAGTGTAGACCATTGAAAGTATAAAAAAACGAAACGAAATATAGATCTGTATTTTAATCAGATTGAAAAGAATATAGGCCTAGAGATGTTGGCCTACAACATTTTAAACTAAATGGTAGATTATTCTATAAAACAGGTGCTTGAAAACTAAAAGATCGCCTATATGTCGACTCAAATCGATAGTTAGCCTACTTGTTGGTGGGAGCCACGGTGGTTAAGTAAGTAAAACGCTGGCTCGCTGGTCTGGAGGTCGCGGATTCGCTCCCGGAGTTGGCCGATAATGTACATCGGGATTTTCCGGCGTGTACACATTTGAATGCACGTAAAAGTTCCCTTGGAATTCGATATAGCAGTCGGCCGTAGTGCCGCTGTCCGGGCAAAACTTCCCTCATAGCACCTCACTGTATGGCGTATGTTCGCTAGCCTGGAGGTCGCTTGTTCGATCCCTGCATTGGCCGAGAAAATTCATCGGGATTTTCCGACGTGGTTTCCTCTTGTCAGTAGTGCAGGTCGGAGGGCCTTACAGGGACAGCTGTCTAGTCGTTCGGATGCGACGATAAACCGAGGTGCCATGTATACATGGCGTGCACGTAAAAGACCACTTGGCAGTTGGAATTCGATATAAGAGTAGGCCGTCGTGCCGCTGCCCAGGCAAAATTTCTCTCATAGCGCACTGTATTGCGTATGCCTGTCTTCATTAGCCCAATCGAAGCAGAAGAGTAGGACGTTAAACCCCATTTCATTTTATGTTCTATCATCGGCGTGTATGTTGAAGAACATTTGGCAGTTGGAGTTCGCTGAAGAATAGGCTTAGAAGTCACTGTCCGGGTAAAATGTCCTTCATATCCCTCATCGCACACTACATGACGAATGCACGTCTACGTTATCCCAGTTAGCACAGAAAAGTAGGAATTTACGCCCAATTTATATTTATATATGATATGAAATGGGGTTTAACGTCCTACTCTTCTGCTCCGAACTGGGCTAATGAAGACGGGCATACGCCATACAGTGTGCTACGAGGGAAAATTTGCCCGGACAGCGGCACTACGGCCTACTCTTATATCGAATTCCAACTGTCAAGGGATCTTTTACGTGCACGCCAATGTGTACACGGGACTTCGGTTTTTCGTTCCATCTGAACGACTAGACAGCTGTCCTTGTCAGGTTCCCCGTCCTGCATCACTGACAAGGGGGAACCACGCCCGAAAATCTGGATGAACTTTCTCGGCCAATGCAGGGATCGTACACCCGACCCCCAGGCTAGCGAGACAGCGTCTTAACCACTTAGCCATCGTGACCCCCTATATATGTAATGGACACAGCCTTAAGTACTGTATAACTATTCACATACGAATCCTAAACTGACCGATATTTTATGACAATCTGATTAAAACACAGATCCTATTTCCTTTCGTTTGTTATAGTTCAAAATTTCGTTTTACTTGTCTTTACTACATTAGGATCTGAAAGAGTTGTTATATAACCTTCGGGGGTTGGGTGACCGAATGGTTAGCGCGTGCGCTGTATCATAAGGTCTGGCATTAAGTCAACTGGCGGGGTTTTGATTCCCTGGTTGTACGTGACAAGAAGTAGGGTCGCCTGTCCTACCTCGTGGGTTTCCTCTCACTGCTAAAGACCCCTACGCACAAGCGAATCAATGACATAAAATTGAACCATATGTTAGTCCCGAGATGATCTAGTTTGTGTCGAGTGGACGTTAAACACTATTTCTCTCTCTTATTCTCTCTCTCTCTCTCTCTCCCTCTCTCTCTCTCTCTCTCTCTCTCTCTATATATATATATATATATATATATAACCTGCGTGCTGGATGATGTGAGGGATTAGCCAATGAAACCATCTGTTACGGCAACTTCTTGGCGTGCGATGCACGGAACTGAGGGTAAACCACTAGAAACGTCAACGCTGATTGATTAATCAATGTCTGACGTCATGTAGTGTAGACCTGTATTTTATTGAGATTGATCTAATTACAATATAACATTGTTTGTATCCGGCGTGGTTTCCCCTTGTCAGTGATGCAGGACGGAGGGGCTGACTAGGACAGCTGTCTAGTCCTTCGGATGAGACGAAAACCCGAGGCCCCGTGTACACATTGGCGTGCGCGTAAAAGATCTCTTGACAGTTGGAATTCGATATAAGAGTAGGCCGTAGTGCCGCTGTCCGGGCAAAATTTCGCTCATAGCACACTGTATGGCATATGTCAGTCTTCATTAGCCCAGTTCGGAGCGGAACAGTAGGACGTTAAACCCCATTTCATTTCATTTCATTTTATATTCAGGTTAGTGAGTAATTCATTTTCTACACATTTACGTGTACGTTGAAGAATAATTGACGGCTGGAGTTCGCTAAAGAATAGGCTGAGAAGTCGCTGCCCGCGAAATATGTCCTTTATATTCCTCATCGCACACTATATATGTAATGGACACATCCTTTAGTATAACTTTTCTCATGCAAATCCCAAATTACTACAATATAACATTGTTTGTATCTTTCAGGATTTGTCCAACGAAAACTTCCAAGTGAAATGAGAACTCCACTGATATAAACTATGCATTGAATATGCTACATTATTAAATAATGTTTATCTAAAGATAATTTTATTTTATAGTCTTTTGTTCACCGTTATGATATGCCAGGTTCCCACTGAGGTGCGGTGCTCCACGATCTGGTTTACGTGCAGATACGTTCGGATACGTTTCAATACGATCAACACGATTTCTACGACTAACCACAATGTATGATAAGACCTGATGGGATCACCATGATTACTCCACGATTAAAACAACGATTTCAGTCGTAGCACGAATCGTGATAGTGGGGACCTAGCATTAGTAACAAGCTCTGGGGTTTTAATGGGGTGTGGCTGGTTCACCGAGAGATTCGCATTTTAATATAGCATTACCTATTTAATTAAAATACAGATCAATATTTCGTTTCGGGTTTTTTTTATACTTTCGATGGACTCCACTACATTAAGATCTAATTGGTTATAGTGAGAGGTCGTGTCAGGGGTCACATGAGCGTCTTTAAAATTATAAAAAAAAACGAAACGAAATGGGATCTGTGTTTTAATCAGATTGTAGCAGTACCAATAGTTTAGAACCCCGGTCAGCCATAATTAGTCAACTACTGTATCAAGAGAGAGGGAGAGAGAGAGAGAGAGGGAGACCACGCCAGCTGACTCAATGACAGACGTTATGATAACCATTCGGCCATCCAACCTCCCTATATATTAAGTTAGGGATGGAATTATTTGTTGTAAATGGGAAGAATTGTCCAAAAGGGTTTGTTGGGGGTATAGTGGCTGAATGGCTTAACGCTTACAAGTACGTTAGATCATAAGACTAGCCTTTGAGTCAAGTGGCGTGATTTCTATCCTACACGTGTACGTGACAACGGATAGGATTGCATATCCAACCTCGCGGGTGTTCATCTCACAGCTAAAGACCCCCATGCACAATCATTGAAATAAATATGTTACTCCCGAAATGACCTAGGTTATGTCGAGTGGGCGTTAAACCACATTCTCGCGCAACCCCCCACCCCTCCTCCCCCTTTACAAAAGAAATGAAATGAACCGGGGTTTAACGTCCTACTGTGCTGCTCCGAACTGGGCTAATGAAGACGGGAATACGCCATACAGTGTGCTATGAGGGATATTTTGCCCGGACAGCGGCACTACGGCCTACTCTTATATCGAATTCCAACTGTCAAGGGATTTTTTAGGTGCATGCCAATGTGTACACGGGACTGTACATCCGAACGACTAGACAACTGTCCTTGTGAGGCCCTCCGTCCTGCATCACTGGCAAGGGGGGGGGGGGGCGGAACCACCCCGGAAAATCTGGATGAACTTTATCGGCTAATGCAGGGATCGAATACGCGACCTCCAGACAAACGAGCAAGCGTCTTATCCACATATCCATCGTGGCTCCCAGCGTGGCATGATGGTATACTGAAAGATATCGCTGTGGATCCTAATGAACTATATCCCACAATTCCTTCTACAGCAGATTCCCGTTTTTACCTGTTTACCCCCGAGATTCATACTATATGTAAAGCAAAAAAAAAAAAAAATGAAAAAACGACTTTGTTTGAAGCAGGACCAAATGCACAGTGTATACTCTCCTTTGGACATTAGTATATTAATCAGTATATAATAAGCTTTCAGAATATCTCAACTTTAAATCACGCCCCAGGCTCTATATCACGCATTGGAGTGGTGACAGCTAATTAAGTCATTCTGTACACAGATAAACTACGCTACTTCGGGAATATATCTCTGTTCTAAATGGCCGACTATTCATTAAAGTGAAATGAAATGAAATGAAATGGGGTTTAACGTCCTACTTTTCTGCTCCTAACCTGGGCTAATGAAGACGGGCATACGCCATACAGTGTGCTATGAGGGAAATTTTGCCCGGACAGCGGCACTACGGCCTACTCTTATATCGAATTCCAACTGCCAAGGGATCTTTTACGTGCACGCCAATGTGTACACGGGACCTCGGTTTTTCGTCCCATCCGAACGACTAGACAGCTTTCCTTGTCAGCCCCTCCGTCCTGCATCACTGACAAGGGAGAACCACGCCGGAAAATCTTCATTAAAGTAGCTAAGTCTCTAACTCAATATCATCCAAAATCATACACGTTGAAAATACGAATTATTTGTCAATTTAAATCAACATTGATGTTATGATTTTACCAGGAAAAGACAGGCTTCTGATATCCAATATTTAATACAATAGTGCGTTTTAGCGTCATTTGCAACAAGTGACCAGAAAGAACGAGGCTAGACATATTCAACTGGAGAACCTGCTCAATAGACTGGAATAACCAGACGCCAGAAATTGCTATAGGGTTGAGACACAGGCCGTATTTCGCTGGACATAACTGATTTGAAATTAAGAGTCAAAACGGAAACAATTGAATGTAAATCAGTTTATATACAATCAGATTACATTATTATATGCGTTGCGACCCATTTGGGTCAATTTCTAGGTTCCAAATATTAGCGATTTACCTCCTTTAAGTGTATCTACGCTACTTCGGGAATAGATCTCTGCCCAAAATGGCCGCCTTTGCATTAATTATATTAAAAAGGTGAGAATCTGCGCATGGCAGTTCTAGACACAACTCGGGGGTGAGCATACTCCTCGCAGTGTTTCGTTTGATTATACCTAATCACACTTAACACTGCTGTAAAGGAAGCAAATTTCTGTTCCAAATTATGACTGGTCAATAGTCCGATTAATAATTAATAGCTAACTGTGTAACAATATCATTACGCTTTAAACAGAGCTCAAAATTGAACCAATTATGTTTACATAACGTTACGTCATGACTCACTATAATTATCCCCAATTAACCCGTGCATACCAGCAGGCCCGTAGCCTGGGGCCTGTCTCACGAAATTTTAACTAAGATAAAATCCAAATTTTAGTAATTTGATTGGATAATATTAGACTGATTGTAGTGCTTAGCCAATCAAAATTGAAGTATCTACTAAAATTTGGATTTTATCTTTAGTTAAAATTTCGTGAAACAGGACCAAGCTTGCTAGCTTCGGAGGGGCAGTGAAGTTTTTAGGGGGGGGGGGGCACACCCGGCACAGTCTACAGTAGGTATATTAGAGCTATCGTCGGCAATTTTTTTTTCGGGGGGGGGGGGCGCAAAACAGTTTTTCGGGGGGGGGGGGCATTCCCCCCCTCTGGCTACGGGCCTGCATAGCAGTATATTGCAGAAGAACTAATTGCGTGACAAACGAGGCTATCAAAACGAATACTATGTAAACAATACTGTTTGGAGACAAACAATACTTTCACCGTTTTTAATACCTTAAATCACTGTCCAAAGTTTTAGGGAAGACCCCGGATTAAACGAAAGGATGTCATGTTGCTGTACTTGGGATAGATTCTCAAGTATCAGAAGCCAATCCAGCAATGGCCAGAGAGGGATTTCTCAGGACATTGCTTCAGGAATATGTGGGGGGGGGGGCGTCAAAAATGCTTTCTTTCTCTTTGTCCCTGAATCCACGCTGAAGAAAGGCAATGGTTAGAGGGTGAAAATGGAATTCGGGACACAGCTTGTTGATATAGGCCTATTCCCAATGTCATTCCTTCTTAACATGCAGCAATGTAACCCTTTAGTGGCATTTAGCAATTGGAAACATAACAAAACTGACACAGTTATAATGGGATACAATCACTGGTTTTATTCTAAAAGCACGACGTTTCAACAAGTATCCTCTTATCGTTATCAAGCACAATGACATTTAGTAATTGTCATTGTGCTTGATAACGATAAGAGAATACTTATCGAAACGTCGTGCTTGTGTATAATAAACCAGTGATTGTCATCCCATATAACTGTGTCAGTTTTGTTATGCACCAATGTGAAACTTACATCGTTTACTTATGATCCCATGCCCTTTACTAATAAACTTTTGCAATTAAAATAAGTTACCGTTTCTCTAACACTGATACCGTTGACTAAAGAAGCTAGACCTATTAGTAATGACAATATTTCTCATTAAATCATATAAGTGGTCAGTATTCTAAACTAATGTTTAGTATAATAGAAAGTGGTTAGATATTATACAGTTGTCATTAATTAGTAGGTGTGTAACTAGCTGTAAAAGATGTCACTACTAGTGTAGAAGCGTGACTAATTATAACACCCGTCACTATTGAATACACAAACCTGGAAAATGGTGGTGTATATCACAGCCACAGTTTTAACACCTTAGTGATAAACACCTACTAAATGACTACTGCCTGATTACTAACAATTTTAAGTAATACACATTAGTGTCGTATATTTTCATTTATAACATTTATTTGTAAACTGATATTTATCCTATATATGAGAATGTGCCCCTTCCATTTGGGGGATGTGACTTGCGTTTTTGTCTAATAAGAATGGGGTTCTTTATGATGTACGTATTATTCAAGAGCTATAGCTAAATCTGTTTATTGCAGATGTTTCGTTTGGCATAAAATGTTTTATAAATCATTCTCAGATGTAAGCTCCTCTTTCAAATGAAATTGAAATTTCTGTCAGTTGTTGTTCTTGGTGTTTAACGTCCGCTTCCACCGAAGGTGATATCGCAGACAGGTTTTTATTTTCATTATCTTAACGCACGCGCAGGGGTCTTTCCTGTGGAAGGAAACCGGAGTAAACCCACGAGGTTGAGAAGGCGCCCCTATCTCCAAGCCACTTACGCTCACACCAGGGATAGAAACCACATCCGCAAGCTAGAGTTGACCGGCCAGCTAGAGGTCGAAGCGTGACACCAGGGATCGAAACCACAACCGGAAGCCAGAGGTGATCGGCCAGCTAGAGGTCGAAGCGTGACACTCTAGACCACTAGGCCATCCTAACCTCCCTATTTCTGTCAATGATTCAGACTCTAATATATATACCGTCACGGTACCCAAAAATAACAATAAACCTATACTGTACACGCAAAACTTACCTAACTGATGTGCAGCCTAATTATTGAAATTATGTTGTTCAATACGGTATATAATACTACGAATTATATACCCCCCCCAAACCCCCCAACAAGAGAGAGAGAGAGAGAGAGAGAGAGAGAGAGAGAAATGGGGTTTAACGTCCACTCGACACAAACTAGGTAATTTCTGGACTAACATATGGTTTAATTTTATTTCAATATTTCGCTTGCGCGTAGGGGTCTTTAGCAGTGGGAGGAAACCGGAGGACACGGAGGAAACCCACAAGGTTGGACAGGCGACCCTACTCCGTGTCACGTACAACCGGGGATTCGAAACCACGCCAGTTGACCAAATTACAGGCCTTATGATACAGCGCGCACGTGCTAACAATTCGGCCATCCCCTCCCCCAAACAAACTACGTGGATATAAATAATATAATAAACCTTACTAAACGAGGACGGTTAACAGGGAAAAAACTCAGATGAAAAGACCTTCATATTGTTTCCATCTATCTTGAACTTTGTCACCGAGTATAATTTGTTCTTTTTCAAAATACATGTAATATAATAATTATACTCGATTCAGTATTGGTTTATTTTCGCCAAGCCTTTGTTAATTATATATGTGTAACTTAGCTAAACTATCAAATTATAAGATATTATAAATTGTTGTATCATTTATAAGATACCCGAGAAATAAAATTGTTGCATGTTTTTTTTTTCTTTTATATAAAACATAAAAAAATTCCAATGGCAGGAAAAACGAAACTATTTTTATATAAAAAAAAAAGTTTCGTTTTCCCCGCCATTGGAATATAAAAAACATAAAAAAAAAACGAAACTTTTTTTAGCCTATATAAAAATCATGATCCATTTTTGCGGAAAAACTTGAGCCAGTGTGAGCCCTGCGATGTGGTGCAGAGGAAATATAGCTTGCAGTTTGATGCCTCGTCAGTAAAAAAAAAAAAAAAAAATCATTATCAAGCTAACTAGCTTTTAGAGATGATTTGCAATTCCGTGAAGGCGGCGATTTTGTCGAAACTCTCCGAATAACACGTACAGTTGAGCTGACTGTTGGAATCCGAAGTATGAGCAGGCAGTAGCGCCACTATCCGGGCAAAATTCACATCATTGCACACTGTATGGGCTTGTCTTTATTAGGCCTAGCCCGGGAGGTGGGGTGGGGGCGAGTAGGACTTTATATTTATCGCAGTTACCTGTTCTCGTTGTGGTTTGATTTAGAAATTGTGATTTATATACAAAATCTATCAAATAAATACTGGCCTGGAGAAAGTCCTCGGGATATAGAATTATATAAATATTTATAGGGTTTTTTTTATGTCCCGAGCAATCCATCATTAATGTTTTGAAAGGGAAGTAACTCCAAAATCTGTCAAGAGTTATCTGTTTCTGAGTGGCGCAACCGGGCACCGGTAATGGCAACACCTTAGCGGGCACGCTTGGATAAATCAGAAAAAGGCGTGTGTGATTTATTTTATCAAATAATGCTAAGGGAACGGTGAAGTCTGAGGTAATTATTGCCACATAAATTTTGATATATAATTCAAATAGAACTGGTACTTTATTGTGAGGTCAAAGATATTTGAAAATGTTGATGGTTCTGTTTCGGAATGCCGACTATTTTTTTTAAATATTTTTTATGGTTGACAGATTGCATAGCAACACTGACTGAGGTCACGCCACTCTATTTACCGGCGTGGTAAGGCAAGATTGTATTATATTATAATATATAGGACCTAGCCAAGGAATCAATTTGGCTGTTCTACATACTGAGAATGATAATAAAAATATGATTATGAATAATGAATGCCACCATGCATGACCCTAGCCTAGGGCTTATCCCTGCTGTTGTTATGATGTAGTACTACTAGGCTAGTGTAGTACTAGGCAGTGTGGAGCATATATTTTTGTTTATCAGGTTAGTTAGAGAAATGGAATGTTTATTTGTCAATGTCATACGTTTCTTGCGCAACTTTATGATTTTATCCATGAATCTGTTTTAATACAACCTGTAAGCTGATTATTACAGTTTTGCTAAAAATAGGAAATATCCCAAGTTTTGACCCCCAACGGCCCAAGATAGTTTGACTAGGCCTACTTATGGACCTTATATAAGGTCCATGGCCTACTACAATACTTCTATCTAAAACCAAATGACCCATGACTTTAGAGCCTCGTTTAACATGGTGATAAGGCGGCGCCGCCGCGCACTGGCCAAACTGTGCCGCCTACTGAGCCCGAAAGTTGAAGACTGGGCGGCAACATAACATACGTTTTGAAAATCGCTGACAAGGTTTTTCCCATGTTCCAAGCATGTCTGAGGCTGATAATCTGTCATGTCTGATTGTTTTATGGGTATATTATTTCTGTCTGCGGGTCAGCCGCAGCAGTGTTTTGATCTCGATTTTACAGGGTATTAATCAATCAATGGTTTAACAAGATTGCTGCGCACAACCAAATCCTTAGACTAGGTACAGTCAGAATAGAATAATCAGGCCAAGTTTTGTGGAACTTAATATAACTGTGATTTTACTTAAAGGAGCTAAATCGCTAATATTTGGGACCTAGAAATTGACACAAATGGGTCGCAACGCAGTTGTGTTCGGCAAAATACGCTAGAAGTGTCAATCAAATGGCTGTCTCTAGCGTCTGGTTATTCCGGTCTACGTCGATAGCATTTATTGCGCATGCTCTCCAGAGAAGAATATGGCTTCACCGTTTGACATGACATGTGGAATATGTCTAGCCTCGTTCTTCGAGTCCCCTATTACAAATGGCGCTGATTCGTGTACCAATGGTAAAATGTTTATTTTGTCTTAAATATTGGATATATCAATAGCCCATCTAACACCAATGTTGATTTAAATTGACAAATGATTCGTGTTTTCAATGTCAAAGACTTTGGATGACACTGTAATCCTATACATATACATGTAGATTTATCTGAATTTGTGGGTAGTTCCCCCTGACCGAACACCAAACTTGACATTGTCGCCACCCTGGACCCCCTGCTCAAATTCCTGAACACCCCCCTGTACATGTAGATTGGTTATAACTGCCATCCATCCGTGAATTTTTTAAGAAAAAGATTTCAAGATAATTTGTTTAATAGTAAAGATCTGAGTGATAACTTTGGTCATTTTGACTAAGTGTATTTTGACTTAGTGTATTTTGACTGTTTTGACTTTATCCAGCTTTTAATGTCTGCAAAGAATGCTGAATGCTGCAAAATTTTCAATTCATGTCTTTGTACAATCTGATTACAATACAGATCTATATTTCGTTTCGTTTTTTATACTTTCAATGGCCTACACTACATGAAGATCTGACAAGTTATAGTGGGAGTTCACGTCAGGGGTCAAACGAGTAGCTTTTGACCCTATGATGTCAGACATTAATTAATCAATCAGCGTTGACGTTTCTAGTGGTTTACCCACAGTTCTGTCCACCAAAAGCTCGCCGTAACAAACCGCTAAGGCGTTTTATTGGCTATTCCCTCACATCATTCAGAACACAATGATAATAACACTTCCAGATCCTAGTGTATTAACGACAAGTAAAACAAAATTTTGAACTAAAAAACGAAACAAAATAGGATTCATGTTTTAATCAGATTGGTCTTTGTAAATTTTTAACAGAAATTGAACCATATTTTTTTCTCGCTATTCCCGGATATTGTAGTCCCTAAGGGATTGACAATCCCTCAAATGACTTTTATTTTTTATCAGAATCAATGACAAGATTTGAAATCTCACTATATCCATAAGTTACTAAGGGGTCTTTGACCATAAACACGATAATACTTATAGAGAGTTTAGCGTATTCAAATGTTGGTGTTATTGACCAGTTGTGATTACTACCGTAAGATATATATGATAACGTTTATATCATATCAATTATCAATGATGATGGACAATTATGAACTGGGCAAAGTCTACTTTTAGTTTATCATTATTGGTCGTACAGGTATTATTGATTTAACACCTGTGACACTCAGCTATCACTTGGGTCGGTCACACTTGAACATTTGACTTGAACAAAAGGTAGAGTAATTAATCAGTTTGTCAATTATAATTATCGTAATTTCTTCGTTAATTTACCTTAATTAATCAATATACATGTACCTGTATGTCTGTTATAGTCATAGATGTGATTATTTTGAAATCAGATCGATATATTTTAATGAAATTTCATTAAAACAATATGTTGCAGATAGCAGATGTGCTAAGGGTAATCATAATCGGTCACTTTGACTCCCTTGTTCTCTGACTCAAGACTGCATGTACATTCAGGTGTGTTATAACTTTTTTTCTGTTTTTGTGGTAAATGGGGGGATCACGTGGCTAAGTGGGTAAGATGCTGGATCGCTAGCCTGGAGGTCGGGTGTTCGATTCCTGCATTGACTGAGAAAGTTCATCCAGATTTTCCGGCGTGGTTTCCCCTTGTTAGTGATGCAGGACGGAGGGCCTGACAAGGACAGCTGTCTAGTCGTTTAGATGGGACGAAAAACCGAGGCCCCATGTACAAATTGGTGTACACGTAAAAGATCCCTTGGCAGTTGGAATTCGATATAAGAGTAGGCCGTATACTATTGAATTCAGTTGATCTGATGTGTGATTGTACCACCACATTTTACAGAAAATGGTTTTATTCTTTCACCTCTCCCAATCTGATTAAAACACAGATCCTATTTCATTTCGTTTTTTTATAGTTCAAAATTTCGTTTTACTTGTCTTTACTACACTAGGATCTGGAAGAGTTGTTATCATTGACGTGTTCTGGATGGTGTTAGGAATTAGCCCATGAAACGGTCTGTTGCGTCGAGCTTTAGGCTTTTTTGGCACGGAACTGTAGGTAATCCATTAGAATGATCAATGCTGATTGGTTAATCAAATGTCTTATGTGATAGGGTCAAAAGCCGCTGGTATGAACTCTGACGCGAACTATCACTACAACTGGTCAGATCTTCATGTAGTGTAGGCCATTGAAAGTATAAAAAACGGAACGAAATATAGATCTGTATTTTAATCAGATTGTTACCTGTCCCTCACAGAATAACTTTGTTTCTAATTGAAGTGGCATAAAGCCTGTTATTGAGTCAACTGGCGTGGTTTCGAATCCCCGGTTGTATGTGACAAGGAGTAGGGTCGCCTGTCCAACCTCATGGGTTTTCTCCGGTTCCTCCAGTTTCCTCCCACTGTAAAGACCCCTACGCGTAAGCGAATTATGTAAATAAAATTAAACCATATGTTAGTCCCGAAATGACCTAGTTTGTGTCGAGTGGACGTTAAACAACATTTTTCTCTTCTCTCTAATTGAAGAGGAAAGTTCAAATCTGGTGTGGGCGTTTATCAGGTGATAATGTTCGGTTTATCGTACGTTGATGATGAAAATATTTAAAGGGGTATGCCTCTTTATTTTGGAACCTTGAAATAGACAAAAATGGTTCTAAAAGCACATATTTTAATATAATGTAATATGAATTTATGTAAAGTAAAGTGACTTATATATAATTCACCTGTTGAAAAAAATATTGTAATTTATAATCAATTATGTTCGGTGAAATACAATAATAGTCAACTTGAACAATCATCGTTTACGCTGGTTTAGTCCTTTTCTACGTATATTTTTGTTATTATCATTTTGTTGTTTATGATTCAGCCTTTACTAATTACTTCTGAAAGCACATGTTTTAATATATGTAATATGAATGTATGTGTTATGTAATGTGATTTATATTCAATTTTTGAAAAAAATATAATTTATATATTCAGTTATAATTTATATATAATTTATATATTCAGTTATAATTTATATATAATTTATATATTCAATTATGTTCGGTGAAATACATGAACTGTTCAAACTGAATGGTCATCATTTACGCCTGCTTAGTCCTTTCTATGCATATTTCTTGAACCCTAGAATACACAACTCATGTACTGATTGTGTTTTAAATATTGGATATTAGAATCCGATAGTTTCACAGCAAGATAACAACATCAATATTGATTGAAATTGATCAATATTGAATTCTAATTCTTGTTTTTTTTTAATTTCAAATTTTATGGAAAACATTGAGTTAAGAGACTTAACACCTTTAATCCTCGCTGTTACAAGCCCCAGCTTGTACATACATGGATGTGACAAGGAGTAGGGTCACCTGTCCAACTTCAAGGGGTTTAGAAATATGGCCATGGGTCCTCCAGTTTCCTCCTACTGCTAAAGACCTGTATGTGCATGCAAATTATTGATATAAGATCAAAACAGTATTTTAGTCCCGGAATGACCGTCAGGTGGACATTAGACCCCATTTCTCACTCTTTTTGTTCTGTTTAAGAGTAAGACATACATGTATACATTATGCAAGAACTAAATCTGCCTATTGCAGGTCTTTCTTTAGGCCTGAAATGTTTCTTAAATTATTAATTAGACATTAATTAACTTATCCAGGCCATAATCAACTCTCGATGACATCAGATTTCTCGGATATTAAATAGAGTAGAACAGTTCAGCCATATTTTGATAAAAGCTAAAAATGGAGGAGCGAGAAATTATTGCACACATCTTGTCAAACCTTCAAGGCTAATATTTTCGCTCACAATAGAGCAATTTGAATGAAATTTTCAAATTATTCATTTTACATTATCTATTTTCGAACTATTATAGCAAGAATGGCTAGTTCTTTATCTAAATCTTACATAATGTATCTTTAATTAATCCATTTAAATACTAGTGTGGATTAAGCCATGAAGGATATTCATTTTCTGAAAAATGAGAATTTAAAGCAGCTTTAAGCTTAGAATGTCATTCATATACAGAAAACTTGAATTGAACAAGGGTTGTTTACGTTAGTTGATATCAGACTAACATTGTAAATATAAAGGTTGAATGAACAAGGAAGAATTCAACAACAGATTATAATAAATTCATAGCTTTCCTCAAATCTTACGATCTCCTGACATCCTACAAACTATACTAAATGTGTTTACTTCAGCCAACAGATAGAAAATAGACTTTATTTATGACTTTGTTAGATATTCATTTTTTTAATTTTTTTTATGTGTGATATATCCTGCATTTACGGTACACACATAGGTGTATATTTACCTGTACTCTATTACTTACACCTTGACATACATGTATATAAAGCCGTTAAACTTGAATGGTGAGTTTTATATATTAACATGACTACCGGTATAAAGCATGTACTTGTTATGATTAAACACAGTAGGCCTTTCAATACAGGTCAACTGTCAATTGAAAATAACATATTAATATTTTAGAATTTACATTACCTATAATACCTACACCAGGTAAATTTCTATATTAATAATAAATGTACAAGCTAGACATGTATCTACACCTATCGTCATATACCCAAGTGGGGGTTGGAAGGCCGCATGGTTAGCATGTGCGCGCTGTATCATAAGGTTTGTCATTGAGTCAATTGGCGGGGTTTTGATTTCCCGGTTGTACGTGACAAGAAGTAGGGTCGCCTGTCCAACCTCATGGGTTTTTTGTGAATTATTGAAATAAAATTAAACCATATGTTAGTCCTGAAATGACCTAGTTTGTGTCGAGTGGACATTAAACCCCATCTCTCTCTCTCTCTCCTCCTATTCTTGTAATTCAGAATTATTTTCTTAATTACATTTTTGTTTTTTTTTCAGATTTAGATGAAAAAATAACATATAAAATAAAAATGACAGGAACAACTAGTGAAATGGGTATTAGTGAATTTTATGCCGGTCAGACATTATTAATAACGGGATGTACCGGGTTTATGGGTAAAGTTCTGTTAGAAAAACTCTTACGATCATGTCCAGAAATAGAGAGAATATACGTACTTATCCGATCTAAACGAGGTCAATCAGCAACAGAAAGATTAGAAACTTTATTAAAATCAAAGGTAAGTTGGTGATTTTAGATTGTTTTCGAGTTTGGCGAGGGAGTCACGCTGACTAAGTGGGTAAGACGCTGGCTCGCTAGCCTGGAGGTTGGGTGTTCGATCCCTGCATTGGCCGAGAAAGTTCATCCAGATTTTCCAGCGTGGTTCCCCCTTGTCAGTGATGCAGGACGGAGGGCCTGACACGGACAGATGTCTAGTCATTCGGATGAGACGAAAAACCGAGGTCCCGTGTACACATTGGCATGCACGTAAAAGATCCCTTGACAGTTGGAATTCGATATAAGAGTAGGCCGTAGTGCCGCTGTCCGGGCAAAATTTCCCTCATAGCACACTGTATGGCGTATGCCTGTCTTCATTAGCCCATTTCTGAGCAAAACAGTAGGACGTTAAACCCCATTTCATTTCGAGTTTGGCGTAGTCAGGGCTTACCAAGAGTCAGGCCTGGAAATAACGGTTTTACATGTACCTGACAAAATGAAATAGTACCAGACATTTTCAACTTAGTGCCGGACATGTATTAATCATATCAATAAAAAAGACAGATCAGTGCCGGACAAAATGGCGGGCACCAGAGGTTTTGTGCCTGACAAAGCCTGAATTTTGTCAGTGACAGGTGCCTTATTTCCAGGCTTGCCAAGAGTGCTCAAGCTGATGGCGAGAAGTGTAGCTACATGTACGCATAGTTTCTCGTACTGAATGAAAAGAATTTAACCATTTCAGATGCGCACAAAAAATTATTCACTCAGCCAATAGAAAGAAGGTCATGTCACATGATAAATAGTTAGCTTGGTGTTTTAATAGGCGATTCCTGATTGTGTAATTTTATTTTTATTACACTGTAAAGTTGATAACGTTGACTAAGAAAAAAATAACTGTTATAAATGAAAATATATATGACACTAATAGATCAAAGTCATCAGTTTATATACATAATGTGTATTAGTAAGTAAAAATTGTTAGTAATCAGGATGTAGCCATTAAGTAGGTGTTTTATCACTAGGGTGTTAAAACTGTGATTATTGAATAATATACACCACCATTGTCAAGGTTTGTGTATTCAATAGTGATAGGTGTTATAAATAGTCACGCTTTTACACCAGTAGTGACATATTTTACAGCTAGTTACACACCTGCTAATTAATGACTACTGTATAATTTGTAAACACTGTCTATACATACACTGACCACTAATATGATTTAATGACAAAAATTGTCATTACTAAAAGGCCTAGCTTCATTGTTCAACGGTATCAGCTTACCAGTGTTACTTAATCACTTGAAATAGTACACTCTTCACCTTCATGAATTTCACAATTTCAAAAGTGAATTAAAAAAGCTCCTGTTAAAACTTTTCTTAATTACATTGTACATGTACATAAGAGTAATTCTACATTTTCATGAATTAAGGAGAGACAAATTGTATTCATGCTTTAGTCTTGTTTAATATTCTCTTTACAAATGTATTTTATGTTCTTATGGAAGATAATGTCTTACATTCGCATTTGATATCAGAATGAAAGCGAGGGTATCTGTTTGGTGAATATGGTAGCGCTTTAATTACCATCATGAAAACTGATAACTTGAACATATGCAGTTTAAAAATAAACAAAATCTGAAAGTAGTTTATTAATATCAATATTTAGGAGTGCGATTTAGCTTATTTGCGAAGTCTTTAATGACTCCTGCGAAGGAAAGTCAAGGTGAGTAGGAGTAAAGGTGCTCCTTAAACGTGAATTACTGCTGTAGTGGTCCTTTACAGTGCACTGCATTGTGTATGCATGTCTTCATACAGGGGACGAAAAGTAGAACGTTAAACCTCATTTCATTTCTTGACCCCCACCCTATCTGGACCAGACTTTCCTTTCTCCCCATTTTATGAATTTCGTTTAATTTGTTTTAGTTATTCGATAAAGTACGAAATGAGACTATTAACATACAGAGTAAAATCGTGCCTGTATGTGGAGATATCGTAGAAGAGAAATTGGGTTTATCCGATGAAGATATTCAGACATTATCACAACAGGTTTCAGTGGTGTTTCATTCGGCAGCTACAGTCAAATTTGACGAAGAACTTAGGTAGGCCTTTATATAATTTTTTTTCAAAGTACAATATTGAACAAAATTTGTATTATTTTCGAAAGAAATTGTTGAAAACCCTGAATTCTGGAGGATCTAGTACATGTAATAGGTTTGTAGCACAAGTACATGCATTCATACGCCTACATGTATGTATACAAAAAACTTAGTCAAATTCATATCCATGGAAACACAAAAATGATTAAATTCGAAAAATTTGTATTTTAATTTTAGCAAAAGACATAACTGCATGTACATGTACTGTAACAGGTTAATGTACATATATAGTTTCATAAAGACCAGTTTGTGAGATATGCTTTGGAAATGGAATAAAAAAAAAAAATTGTATACCAAAAACTATAACGTTAAATGGAAACACTAAAAAGATTAAATCAAAAAATTTGAAAGTAGCAAAAGACACAACTACTATATCATGTTGATGTGTGTACAAAGTTTCATAAAGTTTAAAGCTATCTTGAACAGTTGATGAGATCTATGCCCTGGAAATGAAATTTCCGACAGGACTAACAAAAGGATGGACAGGTGGAGTTCATTGCTATATCCCTCTCAATCCGATTAAAACACAGATCTTATTTCATTTCGTTTTTTTATAGTCCAAAATTCCGTTTTCCTTGTCTTTACCATACTAGGATCTGGAAGAGTTGTTATATAACCCCCATTCTGAATGATGTGAGGGATCAGTCAATGAAACGGTCTGTTACGGCAAGTTTTTCGCGTGAGGTGCAAGGAATTGTGGGTAACCCACTAGAAACATCAACACTGATTGGTTAATCAAATTTCTGCACGACGTCATAGGATCAAAAGCCGCTCGTATGACCCCTGATGCGACCTTCCAGTAGAGGTCATCGAAAGTATAAAAGATGAAAATGAAATATAGATCTGTATTTTAATCAGATTGTATCACTCTCTAATTTCTTTTAGTGTTGAATAATAAAACTATTTAACAGTAAAATAATTCCTTGTGTAATGACCAATTTTATACAAAAAAAAGTACATTTGGTTAAAAGTCGAGGGAGGGTGGGGGTGGGGGTGGATGGACGAATTCTTAGCATGTAAGATCTGCCAGTTGTACGTGACAAGGAGTAGGGACCCCTACATGCAAGCGAATTATTGAAATAAAATTGAATGAACCATATGTTAGTCCCGAAATGACCTAGTTTGTGTTGAGTGGAGGTTAACTCTCGCTCTCTCTCTCTCTCTGTCTCTCTCTCTCTAGTCATGACATGACTGCTTGTGTTGATAGTTGACCGAAACGTCTTGAAATCCATTGATCTGTCCATTAACACTCCATTAACACGCTGTAAAACTAGCGAATTATGATCTACCCACAGCGTGGGTAGGTACAATTAAATAGGAAATGACGATAAAATATTTATTCAGAAAAATGTTACATTGCTGGTCTTTGACCTTGTTACTTTTACTTGATAATCTTGTAAGATAAGATAGACTGATATAATGTAGTCTTCCTAACTACCTTTACATGTATGTAATTCATGTCATTGACAATTGACATTGATACTATAATATTCTATTATTAGCTTTAAACAGTCTAAAATCATACCATCATATTATTCTATTATTAGCTTTAAATAGTCTAAAATCATACTATTATATTCTGTTAGTTTTAAATAGTTTAAAATCATACCATTATATTATTCTATTATTAGCATTAAACAGTCTAAAATCATACCTTTATATTATTCTATTATTAGCCTTGAACAGTCTAAAATAATACCATATTATTATATTATTAGTTTTAAATAGTCTAAAATCATACCATTATATTCTGTTATTTGTTTTAAATAGTCTAAAATTAAACTATAGTCTAAAATCAACTCTCTAGAGCATCAGATGTTGGGGATTTAAACCAATTGAAATACGATCGCCATTTGATGATTTTATTTAAAAATGGAGAGCCGAGGTTTGGTCTCGATTAACAAATGACATTTCAACGATAATAAACAATCTAGATTTATGCCACAATTTTGTCAAAACTTAAAACAGTGATAACTTCGCTCAGATTAAAGTAATTTGAAAGAAATTTTCAATATGATTTTGAATTATCTTTTTCTTAACTATTATAACAAGAACGATCAACTTATATAATTCATCTTGAATTGCCGAAAATCATAACTAGACAAAACCATCACAATTTGAAATAATTTGAACGGTACATTTGTACTACTTTTAGTGTGGGTAGGCCTACATGTTGGTAAGATCAGCTGTCCTATGTTATGTTAATGTGGAAATCAGTTGTCCTAAGTTAAGTTTACATGTATGTACAATTTTGTGAGATCAGTTGTCCTAAGTTAAGTTTAGGTACACTTCATAAGATCGAGTGTCCTATGTTAAGTTTAGGTACATGTTTGGGAGATCAGTTGTCCTATGTTAAGTTTAGGTACATGTTGTTGAGATCAGTTGTCCTAAGTTAAGTTAATGTACATGTTGGTGAGAACAGGTGCCCTAAGTTAAGTTTAGGTACATGTTGGCGAGATCGGGTGTCATGTTAAATGTTTAGGTACATGTTCGGGAGATCAATTGTCCTGTATTAAGTTTATGTACATGTTTCCAAGGGTGATTCTGTAAATGTTGACCTATATGTAATCAATCCTACTGACATAGTTTTTAATATAACTATTTTATAATAATCTTATCTCTGTTTGATTATCTACAAGTGTCAGTGGTATATATACTCTTTAATTAGAGCACAGCAAGGTCATCAACATTTAGCAATTGTACACATTAAAAACACAACACAGTTTATATGGAAATACAATCATGGTTTATAGGCATAGCACGACGTTTCAATAAGTATTCTCTTATCGTTATCAAGCACAAAAGTTGATGTTTTTGTTTTTATTTTGTGTAAGGATAATTGAGTTACATGTAAAAGACTTTTCACAAACATCAAATTTCAAGGTTCCATTCTACATTTACCATCTCATCTGTTTTTAGTATTTTAAAACTAGATATGGATCATGCAGCTCTTGGGACATCAATAATAATAGTTCTGAGGGAATATATTTAGTACATGAGTTCTAATTTTAAACTCTACTCGATAATAATAACAACTACACAGTAACAATATTTACAAAGCGTATATATATCATATTTTATTTTATGATCAGTAGTGGAATACCGCGTTTTATCAGTGAAATAAAAGTGTTATTCCACTGGCTAAAGTAGTCCATGCTGTTTTTACCTAAAATAATTGTAAAATCATAAAATAAATAGAACATTTGTCGTTTTGTCGTGAATAATATATTTTATTTCATCTCTAAGCAAGAAAACGTTTATATTTTCTTTCATGCTACGCATTCGTGAAAATATAAGTTTTCTTGCTTCTCGATGAAATAAAATATGTTATTCACTCTAAAACGACAAATATCCTCTATATATAAGCTAATAATAAAAAATTATCAAACAAACAAGAAAGAATAAAATGGCAAATAAACATACATTCAGAGGACAACAGTAATTAACAAGGGTTAAAACATTTAACATGTTTTACTAACTCCTTTTTGAAGATAAAATATGAAGACGCATGTTTCACAGTTTGAGGTAGTGAATTCCAGAATACAGAGGCGGTATATTGGAATGTTCTTGTAAATTGCCTTTTTCTTACTTTTTGGGATTGTTAGTTTTAAGTTGACTTTCTGACCTCAATGTCATGGTAGTTTCGGTCAATTTAGAATTTTCACAGAATGTGTTATATAAATATGATGGTAATTTGTCTTTTAGAATTTCGAAGGTGAGCATTCCTAATTTCATATACATGTATTCCCATTTAAAATGTAAAATTTAATTTGTCACTGTTTTACACCTGAATATACGGTTTAATATACACATTATTGCCGAGAGGTTCGATCCTTGTGTTGGCCCAGAAGTTCCTCCAGATTTGTTAGCTTGCTTTCCCCCTCGTCAGTGGTTCAGGATGGAGAGCCTGGCAAGGAGAGAGAGAGAGGAATGGGGTTTAACGTCCACTCGACACAAACCAGGTCATTTCGGGACTAACATATGGTCACGTACAACCGGAGAGCCTGGCAAGGAAATACGTTTTGTCATTCATACAATGTATGGGTGTCAGTGATGCAGGATGGAGGGCCTGACAAGAACATCTGTCTTGTTGTTCGGATGGGACGAAAAACCGAGGTCCCGTGTACACATTGGCGTGCATGTAAAAGATCCCTTGGCAGTTGGAATTCGATATAAGAGTAGGCTGTAGGGGCGCTGCCCGGGCAAAATTTCCCTCATAGCACACTGTATGGCATATGTCCGTCTTCATTAGTCCAGGTTAGGAGCAGAACAGCAGGACGTTAAACCCCATTTCATTTCATTTCATTTCACAATGTATGGGATGTAAAATCGTGATCCTCTGAATATACCAATGGCAACACATTAAAGTCAGAAATGGAAATAAGAGTAGGCTATAACCTGGTGTATGCCCATCTTTACGGGCCTGGTTGGGGATCAAAGGAGCTGCATTCAAGTGAGAAATATGAAACCTGAGCTTCAGACTGTAAGACAACAATAATAGTTACTGCTTGTAAATAAACTTGTAGCCTATACAACTTTAATATTTCGGGTGAATACAGTAAATTCAGATGTATCACGATCAAGTAAGACGCAAATCCCATTTATTATGGTTTTGATTTCCCGGTTGTACGTGACAAGGAGTAGAGTCGCCTGTCCAACCCTGTTGGTTTTCTCCGTTTCCTCAGGTTTCCTCCCACTGCTAAAGACCCCTACGCACAAGTTAAGTCCCGAAATGACCTAGTTTGTGTCGAGTGAACTTAAACCGCTCTCTCTCTCTCTCTTTCTCTTTCTTCATTATATAGTCTATGGGTTTTGAGGAACTAAGATGCTTGTAAATTTTTGATCATCAATAATAAGTGAAGTGAAATTTATTGATTTTAGTTTTTTTTTTGTTGTTCTTGATATATGATTTAATACCAGTATTGGAAAGTTGAGGGTATCTACTAAGAATACCGTGTATAATTGTGTATTTATGATGATACAGATGTTACCTACATGTATTATTGAATACTAATCACACCATTGTAATTGACAGCAGATGTTGGTTTAGCTTTAATTATAAAAAGGATTCCATAAAAATACATACAGAATATACACTTAACTGACAACATCAAAGGTTTATTTTTTAAAACGTGGATTATTCGATATTATATTATTTATATCTCATGCGTACATATATTGCAATAAACTTTTTGGTTATAAACGGATACTTCCTCTTTACAGGTACATGTATAATAATTTAGGTCACTTAAAACATACATTATACAAGAGTTAAGTCTGCCTATCGCAGGTCTTTCTTTAGACCTGAAATGTTATCTAAATTATTAAAGATACATTATGGGAGATTCGGTAACGAGTTAACGAGTTGGCAGTTCTCACTATAATAGTTAAAAACTAGATAATGTAAAGGCAATTTGGTGAAAATTTCAATCGGTCATCATTACTAAAGTCAGTACGATAAACAACATAGTATCGATTATCCATTTAATCGTTTAATCGAGAAGGAAAGTTATGCAGTAAATCGGCTTACAATCCACTAAAGATCGCAGGCTAGCGCTGCCATCTAGAGAAACTTGAAATGTAAGTTTATAACCCAAAGATCTCGGTTCCTTTCGCTATTCGTGCATATCGGACCGTAACTTTATGAATTATGGCCCCTGATTGTACGTAAAAACACGTTTTTTGGCTTGTGGACCCTATAGAGGTCATAATTTTTATCCGATTTAAAAAAACGTATTATTATATCACCGTTAAACCCTAAGGACGGTTGAGTTCGAATTTCGTGAAAATCGGCCAAAAACTGACATATACAATGGCCGCCATTCGTTCTCAAATAGCGTAAAAATATGGTATATCAAGGTTGTAGACCCTATAGACGTTACAATTTTTATCCGATTTTGTTGAAACTTGAAATGTAAGTTTATAACCCAAAGATCTTGGTTCCTTTCGATATTCGCGCAGATCGGACCATAACTTCATGAATTATGGCGCCTGATTGTACGCAAAAATGTGTTTTTTTGGCTTGTGGACCCTATAGAGGTCATAATTTTTATCTGATTTAAAAAACTGTGTTAATATATCACCGTTACACCCTAAGGACGGCTGAGTTTGAATTTCGTGAAAATCAACCCAAAACTGACAGACAAAATGGCCGCCTTTCGTTCTCAAATTGCGTAAAAATATGGTATATCAAGGTTGTGGACCCTATAGAGGTCACAATTTTTATCCGATTTTGTTGAAACTTGAAATGTAAGTTTATTACACAAAGATTTCGGTTCTTTTGATATTCGGACCGTAACTTCATGAATTATGGCCCCTTATTGTATGACAAATCGCGTTTTTAGCTTGTGGACCCTATAGAGGTCATAATTTTTATCTGATTTAAAAAAACGTTTTATTATATCACCGTTAATCCCTAAGGACGGTTGAGTTCGAATTTCAGCAAAACAGTAGGACGTTAAACCCCATTTCATTTCATTTCATTTCAGTTCGAATTTCGTGAAAATCGGCCCAAAACTGACAGACAAATTGGCCGCCGTTCGTTCTCAAACAGCGTAAAAATATGGTATATCAAGGTTGTGGACCCTATAGAGGTCACAATTTTTATCCGATTTTGTTGAAACTTGAAATGTAAGTCTATAACCCAAAGATCTCGGTTCCTTTCGATATTCACGCATATGGGACCATAACTTCCTGAATTATGGCACCTGATTGTACGAAAAATCACGTTTTTAGCTTGTGGACCCTATAGAGGTCATAATTTTTATCCGATTTAAAAAAACGTATTATTATATCACCGTTACACCCTAAGGATGACTGAGTTTGAATTTCGTGAAAATCGGCCCAAAACTGACATACAAAATGGCAGCCCCTCGTTCTCAAAATGCGTAAAAATATGGTATATCAAGGTTGTGGACCCTATAGAGGTCACAATTTTTATCCGATTTTGTTGAAACTTGAAATGTAAGTTTATAACCCAAAGATCTTGGTTCCTTTCGATATTTGCGCATATCGAATTGTAATTTCCTGAATTATGGCCCTTGATTGTAGGAAAAATCACTTTTGTTTTAGCTTGTTTTCTATCCATCTCTTGAAAATGTAGGCGTATCCTGCCTGGCAGCCGCTGGTTATTGAATTATTATAGCAAGAATGGCCAACTCTTTATAAAACTCTTAAAACTAATGTATCTTGAAAAAAGAGCAATAACTTGAGAATAATAAAATAAGGGAAGTGGTGTGGGGTGGATGGATATTGAAATGTGCTTGTATCTCCTTCCACCCTGGTTTTGTTTCTGGAGCATATTTCATAAAGCATTCAAAATATTTTTATGAAACTGTGTACACACATAAAACCATCAAGTAGAACTTTCTGCATTCAACTATCAAGATACCGTTATGCAACTTGGTACACATATTATCAACATATTATAGTATGATAGTTGTGCCGTTTGCTAATTATTGAAACAAATTTGACTTTGTCTACTATATGTTTAACTATGTGGATTAATTGAGATGTCTGCCTTGGAATTTGATATAAGAGTAGGCCACAGTGCTGTTGTCCGTCAAAATTTGCCTCATAGCACACTATATGGGGTATGCCCGTCTTCATTAGCCCAGTAGGCCGTTAAACCCCATTTCATTTCATTTCGTTACGTATTGTATCGAACAAAATATTTATCTGTGCCGCACTCAGCATTCTTTCAGTTATATCTGACCCACTTTGGGAGGTTGGATGGTCAAATGGTTAGCACGTGTGTGCCGTATCATAAGACCTGTCATTGAGTCAACTGGTGTGGTTCCGAATCCCGTCTGTACGTTACAAGGAGTAGGGTCGTCTGTTTCAACCTCGTGGATTTTCTCTGGGTCCTCCGGTTTCCTCCCACTGCTAAAGATCCCTACGCACAAGCTAATTATTGAAATAAAATTGAACCATATGTTAGTCCCGAAATGACCTAGTTTGTGTCGAGTGGATGTTAAACCCCATCTCTCTCTCTCTCTCTCTCTCTCTCTCTGACAAAAGTTTGGTGACCCCAGATGTACATGTACATGTACCTTCCAAAACATGTCGGAGGGTTCAGGATTATGAAGTCTTATCGATCTTCAAATGTATTTTGTCTATTTTCAGATTATCCCTTCAAATGAATGTTATAGGTGTAAAAAGTTTAATAGAATTATGTCATAAATTTAAGAAATTAAAAGTAAGTAACTATATACAGTTATATATTAAATATTTACCATATGTTAGCCTCAAAAACACGGAATTATTGATTTGTCGAGACTGATTGTCATTTGTATGTTCAGTCAATTCATTGTAAATTGTACCTAGATTGATTCTTGAACATTTATTTAATATAAATACATAATATTAATGGGAGATAAGCGATGTGTTAAAGGAGGTAAATCGTTATTTTTTAGCACCTAGAAATGGACACAAATGGGTCGCAACGCATATAATAATGTAATATGAATGTATATAAACTGATTTACATTCAATCGTTTCCGTTTTAATTTCTAATCAGTTATATTTGCGAAGAGTCAAAATTGAATTGCAGTCTTTGGTGTCTGGTTATTCTAATCTATACCGGTAGTATTGTCCTGTGGGATATGTTTAGCCTCGTTCATCGAGTCGTTTCATTAGAAATGGCACTCAAAAGCATTCTGGCACTCGATTTGTGTGCCAATTTTAAAATTTTCATTTTGTCTTAAATATTGGATATCAGAAGCCGATCTTTTCACGGTAAGATAACAACATCAATCAATGTCAATTTAAATTAACCAATAAGTTGTGTTTTCAATTATAGACTGTGGTTGATATTGGGTTAAAGACTAGCCTCCTTTAAGTGGACGTTAAAAGCCTTATCTCTCTCTCTCTCTCTCTCTCTCTCTCTCTCTCTCTCTCTCGTAAATATATAATTATATTTATTTCAGGCTTTAATCCATGTATCAACTGCTTACGCAAACTGTGATAAAAATGTTATAGAAGAAAAAGTTTACGATCCACCATTAAACCCAAACAGACTTATTGATGCTGCAGAGTAAGATATTATTAAATATTATATCATGTTGTACGGTAACCCTAAAACAGCTCTTGCGGCGTGGTTCCCCCTTGTCAGTGATGCGGGACGGTGAGCTTGACAAGGACAGCTGTCTAGTCTTTCGGATGGTACGCAAACCCAGGGTCATGTGTACACACTGGCATGCACATAAAAGATCCCTTGACAGTTGTAAATCGATATAAGAGTAGCCCAGTTCGGAGCAGAACAGTAGGACTTTAAACCCCATTTCATTTGTTATGCCGATATTGATCAGTAATTAGTAGTGGTAGTGATCCTTATTACACTACCCCTATTTAATAACATTACAAATGTCAGCCATTGATAGCTCCCTTATTTACAAGATATAGATAAAGTTAACTCGGACTTTGTTTAATTATTGATAAAGATAAGAAAACATGACATTTGTCTTTGTAATAATCTAAAATTGGAAATCTAAATAGCAGTGAGTAGCTGTCCTAGATTTCTCTGGGGGTTTGGATGGCTGAATGGTTAGCGTGTGCATTGTATCATAAAGTCTGTCATTGAATCAACTGGTGTGGTTTCGATTCCCCGGTTGTACGTGACCGGGAGTAGGGTTGCCTGTCCAACCTTGTTGATTTTCGCCAGGTCCTCGGGTTTCCTCCCACTGCTAAAGACCCCTACCCGCAAGCGAATTATTGAATTAAAATTTAACCATATGTTACTCCCCAAATGACCCAGTTTGTGTCGAGTGGACGTTAAGCCCCATTTCCAACTTCAGGTTGGTGGGCTGTACCCATCAACTATTTTATTTTATTTAAAAGTTTAATATGAATTGTATGATGCTACGCTTGTGGACGCTCTAGAGGCTAAAGTTAATATCCGATTGACTTTAAATTAATACGTAGTGTTTAAGGTCATGAGACGAAGAAGCCTATTGATTTTCAATGATTTCCAATGATTATGGAAACTGATATTAAATGTTAGAATAGGGCAGAACTAGAAGCCAAATGGGCTGTTACTTGTAATAAGATTTTAGTTCGTTGTTAATGTTTTCATTTCTGACAAAAGTAAAATTATGTGAACTTTTGTTGACTCACGGGACGACTTAGTTGCTGTGGGCGTATGTTTTCATTGCCTGGCAAGCTATCTTTGTATAAATGGATGGATGATAATGCTATATTTTGTATTTTTGTATAGATGGATGGATAATGATGCCATGAATTCATTGACAGCTAAACTTCTCGGAAACAGACCTAACACCTATACATATACAAAAGCCATGGCTGAATATCTCATCTTACAGGAATGTGGCGATTTACCTGTAGCTATTGTTAGACCTTCTATAGTTGGTTCTTCTTGGAAGGAACCGTTCCCTGTAAGTATAAACATCTTCTATTATTTGTTCTTTTTGGAAGGAACCGTCCCCTGTAAGTGTAAGCATGTTCTTCTTGGAGGAACCGTTCCCTGTAAGTATAAACATGATCTATTGTTAGTTCTTCTTGGAAGGAACCGTTCCCTGTAAGTATAAACATGATCTACTTGAAAGGAACTGTTCCCTGTAAGTATTAACATGTTCTATTGTTCGTTCTTCTTGGAAGGAACCGTTCCCTCTAAGTATAAACATGATCTATGGTCCATTCTTCATGGAAGGAACCGTTCCTTGTAAGTATAAATATTATCTATGGGGCGTTCTTCTTGGAAGGAACCATTCATCAGAATTTTCAATGTGATTCCCCTCTTGTCATTTGGCGACCTGACAAGTAACAGATTGAGTCATTCAGATGGGACGTTTAAGTAATTATGGTGCCCGTAAAAAAAACTTTGATAGTTTGAATATGAAGAGTATTCAAAGAATATGCGTTGAATTAGGGACTACTAAATTGCTACATGGCAGGGTTAGATAAATAATCATAATGAACCAATTGAATTCAAATTGATAATTATTTAATTAACTGCATGTATTTATAATTTTTGTATAATTAATTGGTTTTTTTTTTTATATTTCAGGGTTGGGTTGATAATTACAATGGTCCAACAGGATTACTGGTAGCTGTTAGTATCAAATATGATTATATATCAATTTATTTCTCCTATAGATATAGTGGGGGTTGGGTGGCCGAATGGGTTAATTTGTTCACTTTGCATCATAAGGTCTGACAGGACGATATAACTGGTGGCTGTAGTATCAAATATAATTATCTATCAATTTATTTATTCTCCTATAGATATAGCGGGGTTGGGTGGCTGAATGGTTTAACACGTTTGCTTTAAGTCATAAGGTGTGACAGTACCATATAACTGGTGACTGTGGTGTCATTTTATTTATACTGTTAATCCGTCTTTATTATACCAGTCAGTGCAGAAAAGTCGGACCGCAAACTCCCCATTTCATTTATTGTCCTAAAATATAGCTGCGGGGGATTGAGTTGTAGAACACAATGCGCATTAGATCCGAAGCTTGTACATGACAAGGAGCAGGGTCGTCTGCATTCTGATTAAATTACAGATCTATATTTCGTTTCGGTTTTTCATACTTTCGATGGCCTACACATACATAAAGATCTGACAAGTTATGGTGGGAGTTCACGTCAGGGGTCAAACGAGCGGCTTTTGACCATATGACATCAGACATTGATTAATCTCTCAGCGTTGACGTTTCTAGTGGTTTACCTACAGTTCCATTCATAAAAAGGCCAAGGACTCACCGTAACAGACCGATTCATTGGCTAATACCTCACATCATCCAGAACGCAGGTTATATAACAACTCTTCCAGATCCCAGTGTAGTAAAGACAAGTATAACAAAATTTTGAACTAGAAAAACGAAACGCAAAACAGTTATTGAAATTAAATTGTACCATATGTTAGTCCTGAGATGACCCATTTGTGTTGAGTGCACATCAAAGATCATGTGGGTGTGGCATTGCACATCTGACTGTATTTTTACGAGGGGAGTGGATAGTCGAATGGTTAGCAAGACTTTCATTGAATCAACTGGCGTGGTTTCGATTCCCCGGTTGTACGTGACAAGGATTAGGGATGCCTGTCGAACCTCGTGGGTTTTCACCAGGTCCTCCTATTTCCTCCCACTACTAAAGATCCTTATGTGCCAGCGAACAATATGTTAGTCCCGAAAGGACCTAGTTTGTGTCGAGTGGAAGTTTAACCCCCATCTCTCTCTATATATATATATTTTGACGAGACGTGTATATGTTTTATTATTATTATAGATTGGTAAAGGTGTATTGCGGTGCATGATGGGTAATTTCAATGGTACTGCCGATATTTTACCTGTAGATATAGCAACTAATTTAATGATAACAGTTGGCTGGCATACAGCAGTAAATAAGTAAGTTCTAATACATGTTATGGGGGGTTGGATGGCCGAATGGTTAGCGTGTGCACGTTCAGTCATAAGGTCAGTCATTGAGTTAACTGGTGTGGTTTTGATTCCCTGGTTCTACGTGACAAGGAGTGGGGTTGCCTGTCCAACCTCGTGGTTTTTCTCTGGGTATTCGGTTTTCCTCACACTGCTAGACCCCTATGCACAAGCGAAATAAAATTGAACCATATGTTAGTCCCAAAATGACGTTAATCTCCATTTCTGTATCTCTCTCTAATATATGTTATAATGATCAAGGAAGGATGGATCGAGGGGGCCAACATGTACATTTCAGATCATAAGGTCTGTCATGTAGTACAGTGGAATGGCTTCAATCCCAAGCTTCTTCACGACTGGGGGGTTGGATGACCAAATGGTGAGCGTGTGTGTGCTGTATCATAAGGTCTGTCAGTGTGTCAACTGGCATGGGTTTGATTCCCTGGTTGTACGTGACGAGTAGGGTCGCCTGTCCAACCTCATGGGTTTTCTCTGGGTCCTCATTTGGTTTCCTTCTACTGCTAAACCCCATTTCTCTCTCTCTCTCTCTTTTTCGTCATGACTAGCCTGTCCAACCTAAATTATACCATATTGCTTATGTAATTTGATGATACTATTTAGAGGTGTTCTTTTAAAATAAATATTTTGTGAATTTTTTATTTTACAGACCAGAAAAATTAATGGTATATAACAATACAACCGGACAACTGAACAAATTTACCTGGGGACAGATGGGTAAGTAAATATATTCTGTTAGATTTTACTCATTATAATTGATCTCTTTCATTGGTTGATGAGTTAGGTTACTGGCATTTTAACCAGGGGGATCACGTGGCTAAGTGGGTAAGACGCTGGCTCGCTAGCCTGAAGGTCGGGTGTTCGATCCCTGCATTGGCCGAGAAAGTTCATCGTTTCCCCTTGTGAGTGATGCAGGACGGAGGGCCTGACATGGACAACTGTCTAGTCTTTCAGGTCCTGTGTACACATTGGCGTGCAGGTAAAAGATCCCTTGGCAGTTGGAATAAGATATAAGAGTAGGCCGTAGAGCCGCTGCCCGGGCAAAATTTCCCTCATAGCACACTGTATGGCGTATGCCCGTCTTTATTAGCCCAGTTTAAGAGCAGAACAGTAGGACGTTAAACTCCATTTCATTTCATTTCCTTAACCAGATAGACCCAGGTGGATTCTACCATGAACGGTGAAGGACCTTTTGGGATTCGTCAAGCCCAGTTGTCACTTGTCATGGGGTAGTGTCTGGGATGCCAACAAGGGAAGTTTGCCACCTGTTTAGAACCTGTGTTGATTGGAATTTGATTAAGATTAAGCTAAAGTTATGTTGTGTTGCCAAAATTCTCCCCACCCCACCCCTGTTTACATCTGGCTAGAAACAAAAATAGCAGAAGTATTCTATTTCTTTGATTCTTCCTGTCGCAGAAATTTTCTAACGATCCCATCTTTTGATTGGCTTAAACTAATTTTTGTGTCAGGAGTTTTTAACTCTTAGTAATGCTAGGGTTCCCACTATAACGATTCGTGCTACGATTGAAATCATGGTTTTGAATTGTGGTGATCCTATCGGGTCTTATTATATATTGTGGTCAGTCGTAGCAATCGGTTTGATTGTATCGAGACGTATCTGTACGTACCAGTTGGAACCCAGCATTAATGAAAAGAGTTTTAAGTTTTCACAAAGATGATGTGCATTTTATTTTTATTGTGTTTTTATTTTTTCAGAACGTTTTTTCTACGAATTTTATTTTTATTGTTTTTTGATTTTTTTTTTTTTCAGAACGGTTTTCCTACGAATATTTTATGAAGAATCCTATTGATGAAATAGCTAGAGTACCTAATCCAAGATTCACCAAATATTTGTAAATATTATTTTTATATCTCCAAAACAGTAACAGTATCACATTAGTGTTAAGAGTAGGAGAATCCACCTAAACATACATTATGCAAGAGCTGCCAGCTCTTTATCTAATCTTCCATAATGGCCCTTTAATTGCCACTACAACACTTTAATATTTAGATCTGAAGTTTATGGACAACCCCCCCCCCCCCCCCGCTGAAAATCATGGATCCGCCCCCCTGCATGTGTTATGATAGTTGTAGTTTTTGTACATTTGTATGTTTCTATCAAGTGTTTAATATACAGAGATATCATTTACACATAGTAACGCTTCACCATATTTAAAGATACATTATGAAAGAGTTAAATCTGTCTATTGCTGGTCTTTCTTTAGGCCTGAAATGTTATCTAAATTATTAATTAGACCTTAATTAACTTATCTAGACTATAATCAACTCTCGATGCCATCTTATGTGTCGGATTTTCACTGGATTTGAATCCGATTTGCTGCTCAATGCTTATTGATGATTTAATCCCAAAATGGATAATCAAGACTATATTTTTTATTGTACCGACTTTAATAATGATGATCGAGGCCAGGTCTAAAATTCAATCGCTAATATCTTGGTTCAGAGTGGATCAATTTGACTGAAATTTTCACCATCTTCCCTTTATATTATCTAGTTTTAAACTATTATAGTGAGAACTGCCAGCTCTTTATTTCATCTTCCATAATTCCCCTTAAAAAAAAAAATATAATTCAAGACTTCTGTTTGGTAGAAATAGCAGTACTAAGAGTTGGAGAAACAACCTTAAAAGAAAGATAACTCAAAACTTCTATTTGCTACAATTAAGTGGTTTGAAGCCTTTTATACATTACTTGCCCAGTATTGAAAACCCTTGAATCTGTGGGGGATCACGTGGCTAAGTGGGTAAGACGCTGGCTTGCTAGCCTGGAGGTGTGGTGTTCGATCCCTGCATTGGCCGGGAAAGTTCATCCAGATTTTCCGGCGTGGTTCCCCCTTGTCAGTGATGCAGGACGGAGGGCCTGACAAGGACAGCTGTCTAGTCCTTCGGATGAGACGAAAAACCGAGGTCCCCTGTATACATTGGAATGCACGTAAAAGATCCCTTGGCAGTTGGAATTTGATTTAAGAGTAGGCGATAGTGCCGCTACCCGGGCAAAATTTCCCTCATAGCACACTGTATGGCGTATGCCCGTCTTCATTAGCCCAGTATAGGAGCAGAACAGTAGGACGTTAAACCCCATTTCATTTCATTTCATTTCAAGTGGAGTTGATTGTAGACAGTGTAACTATTGTATACTGAATGACATGAAATATAAGTGTTGATTTATTTCTGTATTTCAGACTATGGAAAGATCTGAATGTGATATTCGATCACCTGCTTCCAGCTTATGTCATGGACTTTTATCTTTGGATAGTAGGACGTAAGCCAATGTAAGTTAATATAGTCTTTAACTTCCAGCCAGAAGACAACATTTGATCAATTGACACAATCATTGTCATTTTCGATCTGATCAGTATCGGACTTGATCTTAAAAGCGTCCCTCTACATGCTCGTATTATAAAATATGCTGTCTCATATCACGTTTGATCAATTACACATCAATTACTGTCCACATTCCTCTTCGTATCCATGAACAACTGACAACTGGCGTCCCTAGCACAGGAAGTACTCTTCTCCCATGCGTATCTCAGTCAACTGGAAATGGAGGTTTATTATAAAATGTCAACCTACTAGGTCAGCCCAGCTGTGCATCTTTTGCCAGTCAGTCCTTACATCCAAGCTAGAAACGACTTACTACTTGCATCGATTCACAGGAAAAATTACAACCGATCAAGTCAATATAATATGAACATATTCCTGGTTAACAAGTTTTATTTCAACTAGTTAAGTCAATGTAATGTTAGTCTAGATTAAGCAGATACATTTAACTGCTGGGAGCAACTGTGGCTAAGTGGGTAAGATGCTGGCTCGCTAGCCTGGAGGTCGGGTGTTCAATCCCTGCATTGGCCGAGAAAGGTCATCCGGATTTTCCGATGTGGTTTCCCGTTGACAAGGACAGCTGTCTAGTCATATACTCGTGTATATATTGGGTGCACATAAAAGATCCCTTGGCAGTTGGAATTCGATATAACAGTAGGCCATAGTGCCGCTGCCCGGGCAAACTGTATGGGGTAGGACCATCATCATTAGCCCAGTCGGAGCAAAATAGTAGGACGTTAAACCCCATTTCGTTTTCATTTTGCTGATATCCGTGCTTTTCTAATGTACTGCATGCCTGTTGGGTTTCATATTGTGACAAGTATTTGATGTCATCCGTTTCATTGCCCAGGTCATACCACATATTTTATTTGCTACATGAAATTTACCACCCATTAATTGTGTCCTGTTTCTTTTAGTTTTGTGAAAATTCAGGATAAATTATGGAAGGCCGTGAAGAGTTTAGAATTTTTTACGTCACATGAATGGAAGTTTGCTAATGATAATATCAACATGTTAGCGGAACATATGACTGCTAAAGATAGAGAGGTAAGTTGTTTTAACTAAGAACTAAAACAAGATGTGCACGAAATAATAAAATGACTAGAAAGAATGAGTAGGCCTACTGCTGTACTTTATTGTTATCACAGGGATACAATGTGCCACGGGAGCTACAGTGGCTAAGATGCTGGCTCAATCCCTGTATTGTTCGAGGGGGGTTGGATGGCTGAATGGTTAGCGTGCGCGCGCTGTATCATAAAGTCTATCATTGAGTCGACTGGCGTGGTTTCGAATCCACGGTTGTACGTGGCAAGGAGTAGGGTCGCCTGTCCAACCTCGTGGGTTTTCTCCGGGCCTCCGGTTTCCTCCCACTGCTAAAGACACCTACGGGCAAGCGAATTATTGAAAAAAAGTTAAACCATATGTTAGTCCCGAAATGACCTAGTTTGTGTCGAGTGAACGTTAAACCCCATTTCTCTCTCTCTCTCTCTGTATTGAACGAGAAAGTTCATAAGGATTTTCTGGACAGCTGTCTAGTCGTTTGAATGGGACAAAAAAACAAGGTCCTGTCAATACATTGGCATGCACATAAAAGATCCCTTGGGACAAAGGATTAAGATAATATCTTTCGTGAAATTAATTTTAATGAAGTATAATCTTTACAGATATTTGATTTTGATGTGAGAAAGATTAGATGGGGACAGTATATGGAGAATTATTGTCTGGGAACAAAACAGTTTGTTCTTAAAGAGAATCCACAACATCTTCCTAAAGCTAGAAGAGCTCTTCAAAAGTAAGTGGAGTTACTTCCCCTTGTCATTGAACCAGGGTTTTCATGTCTGAATTTGTACCATTCAGACATTTAATTGCGTATTATCTTTATCTAAGATTTGCTGAACATATATTTTCCAATATGGTGACATTATCTCAATCTATAAATAATTGGGGTTTGGGTGGTTGAATGTTTGTTTATAAGGTCTGTCATTGGTGTGGTTTTGATTTTCTGCTTGTGCGTGACAAGGATTAGGGTTGCATGTCCAACCTCAAGGGTTTAGCCCTCCCACTGCTAATGACCCCTAAGTGCAAACAAATTATTGAAATAAAATTAAACCATATGTTCGTTCAGAAATGTTCTAGTTTGTGTCGAGCAGACGTTAAACCCCATTTCTCTCTATCTCTCTCTCTCTTGATCATAAGGTCTGTCATTGGTGCGGTTTTGATTCTCTGTCTGTACGTGACAAGGAGTAGAGTTGCCTGTCCAACCTCGTGGGTTTCCCCTGGGTCCTCCGGTTTCCTCCCACTGTTGGGTTGGGTGTCTCTTATCTATTCACCCTTGGTTATTATATCAATATTGGGAGAAGCCTAGTGGAAACGTCACTCAGTAATAAGCAATAATTGTATTCCATAGAATTGTGACCTGTATATAATTAATATTTCTAGAAACATATCGAATAATTCAACATGTTTGGTGCAATATAGCCCGTTTACAGCTGACAGCCATACAGCCACATATCATTCATTCATTCATTCATTCATTCTATTTACAGATTACAGAGAATGCATTTCTTGATGAATGCTGTTGTTTTTATGGTGGTATGGAGGTTATTAATCAATCGAGTATCCGTCGCTAAATCTCTGTGGAATCTTCTCATAGGATGGGCGCTTTTCATCTTTCAAAAAATACCCAAACTAGCAAGATCAACATAGGTTGTGTTCTCCATATTTTAATAGTAGGTTGTAACAAGATGCCTTGAATTAGTCAGTATTCACAAAACACTAAACTTCGGAACAAGATTAGACATTACTTTTAAGGTTTTGTCTTTGTCAGGATTTCCAAAATTCTGTTAATTTTCAAACCACATAAAAGCTATATTTTTTATTAATATTTTATATTTAATTATTCTGAAATTAAGCTTGATGCTTTATTGAAAATTTTTAATTATTTATTCACATGACGGGACCTTTTAAAACTGACCTATTCGTGTACGTGACACTTTGTTATTGACATGACGTCGTGACATGTGACATTTTGAAACTTATTATTGATGTTACAACTAACATTTTGAAACTTTTCATTATTCAGAATATTTGTTATCATCCAAGTTCATCGTTTTATTTACATAAGTATTTATATAAGTATTTGTTAAATAATGAGCTGTTAGAACAAATCTAATCATAGGTCAAATCTTAGCTTAAAACAATCTGATTAAAATTCAGGGCCCCGATTCACAAAATTTTAACTAAAGATAAAATACAAATTTTAGTAGATACCTCAATTTTGATTGGCTAAGCACTTAAATCAATCTAATATTATCCAATCAAATTACTAAAATTTGGATTTTAGTTAAGTTTTCGTGAATAAAAGCAGTGATTTATATTTCGTTTCGTTTTTTTTTTACTTTCGATGGCCTACACTACATGAAGATCTGACCAGTTGTAGTGGGAGGTTGCGTCAGAGGTCATACGAGCGACTTTTGACCCTATGACTTCAGACATTTGATTAACCAATCAGCATTGATGTTACTAATGGATTACCCACAGTTCTGTGCAAAACACGCCTAAAGGTCGCCGTAACAGACCATTTCATTAGCTATTCCCTCACATCATTCAGAACACGTCAATGATAACAACTCTTCCAGATCCTAGTGTAGACAAGTAAAACGAAATTTTGAACTATAAAAACGAAACAAAATAGAATCTGTGTTTTAACCAGATTGAGCTTAAAACATTCATTTAATTCATTTAAGTACAAATATAGGGCTGTTCTGTATTTTATTAAAGATGCATTATGTAAGAGCTAAATCTGCCGATTGCAGGGTTTTATTTTGACTTCAAATGATATATGAATTATTTTTTAAGCATTTATTCATGTGACAAGCCTATGATCAACAGATTTATACAGATTAAAATATGATCGCTATTTAATGATTTAATTCAAAAATGGCGAAGCAAGATTGAGTCTAGATTAACTATGCTGCAATGATAAACAATCTAATTTTAAATTTAAAACTTCAAACAGTGATAACATCGCTCAAATAAAGTAATTTTGAATTATCTATTTTGGAACTATCATATCAAGATCGGCCAGCTCTTTATCTAAATCTTACATAATGCATCTTTAAGGCTTCCTGTAGTTCTTGTTTCGTATTCAGGCCTGGAAAGAATAAATTGAGTTTTACCTGACAAAATATCGAGTTGCAGACATTTTGAGCTTAGTGCTGGCCATATATTTAAAATATCAATAAACTCCATCTTTCCAGGCTTGATTATATTGTAGACATGTGTTGATTAATCATACTTGAGTGCCAATTACATAATAATATAAAGAAATATATGATTATTGAATAACATTGTAATATGTTTTTATTGTATATTCTAATTCTTTTATTGTATATTTACTAATTTACTAATATATATAGAGACTAGTTTTATAATAACGTGTATTAGTGGTTATACACTAGATATACACTGTGTATTACTGATTATTGACTAGTATTATACACTGTTAATAACCCTGTATTATAGACTTGTATATACACTTTTATTAGCCGTGTATTACTGGTTATTGACTAGTATTATACACTGTGTATTACTGATTATTGACTAGTATTATACACTGTTAATAACCGTGTATTACTGTTTTACTAATAATATATATTATATACTGAATGTAGACTTGTGGTATACACTGTTAATAACTGTGTATTACTGGTTATTGTCTAGTATTATACACTGTTAATACTGAATATAGACTTGTGGTATACACTGTTATTAGCGATGTATTACTGATTATAGACTAGTGTTATACAGTTTAATAACCATAGATTGGTATTATACACTGTTAATAACTGTGTTTTACTGATTTTATATGTCCTGCTGGGAAGGCCTAAATATGTCCTGCTGGGAAGGCCTAGTTGCCACACATGTAGTATTAGTTAATTACTACTATACATATAAAGGTATCATATAATGTTATAAGTTTAGCCGCAGATTGTCTTTTCCATTTTTGAGTCAATATCTAATATTTCATGACATGATTCATTTAATAAAAACCTCAAAGATTTACTTAACAGTGCATATCTTTATTCCTACTGAAGGGAATTTAAACTAGATTCAACTGTCTCTCAGATGATTGATTGATCAGATTAGTTTTACTGTATTTACCTGTTTTACATCCTTCCAAGACTTTATTTAAATGTTTGTATTATTATTATTATTATATACCAGGAACGAATCCAGGGACGGTGGGGGGGGGGGGTGGCGAAATAGACAGAAATGACATCCACATTTTCCAAATTTTCCTTACCTGCGTCTTGTTTTTTTATGAACCTTCAGCGCTTATTAAACATACATTATGCAAGAGCTAAATCTGTCTATTGCGGGTCTTTCTTTAGGCCTGAAATGTTATATAAACTATTAATTAGACATTAATTAACGTATCTAGACCATAATCAACTCTCAATGCAATCTTACATGTCGGATTTTCACTGGATTTGAATCCGATCTGCTGCTCAACGCTCATTGATGATTAAATCCAAAAATGGATAATTGAGACTATGTTTTTTATCGTACTGACTTTAGTAATGATCAAGGCTAGGCCTAAAATTCAGTCGCTAATATCTCGGTTCAGGGTGGAGCAATTTGACTGAAATTTTCAGCATATTGCCTTGACATTATCTAGTTTTGAACTAATATAGTGAGAACTGCCAGCTCTTTATCTAATCTTCCATAATGGCCCTTTAATTGCCACTACAACACTTTAATATTTAGATCTGAAGTTTATGGACCCCCCCCCCCCCCCCTCCCCCCCCCCCCCCCCGCTGAAAATCATGGATCCGCCCCCTGCATGTGTTATGATAGTTGTAGTTTTTGTACATTTGTATGTTTCTATCAAGTGTTTAATATACAGAGATATCATTTACACATAGTAACGCTTCACCATATTTAAAGATACATTATGAAAGAGTTAAATCTGTCTATTGCTGGTCTTTCTTTAAGCCTGAAATGTTATCTAAATTATTAATTAGACATTTATTAACAAAACAATATGCTATTTGAACATACATTATGCAAGTGCTAAATCTGCCTATTGCAGGTCCTTCTTTAGGCCTTCCGGTTTCCTCCCATTGCTAAAGACCCCTACGCGGAAGCGAATTATGGAAATAAAATTGAACCATATGTTAGTCCCGAAATTACCTAGTTTGTGTTGTGTGGACGTTAAACCCTATTTTCTGTCTCCTCTTCTTTAGGCCTGAAATGTTTTCTAAAATTATAAACTATTAATTGGACATAAATACAAAGAATGTGGGGGCCCTTTGGGACTAAATCTTATGAAATTGTATAGCCATTCTTTGCTAAAGATTTCAATCTAAAATGGATCAAATATTTATGTCGTGAAAAGCCCAATTATTTGTATCGTAACATTTCTACTTGCGTTGATTAACATGAAAAAACTATAATCAACTCTCGATGCTATCTTATGTGTCTGATTTTCATTGGATTTGAATCCGATCTGCTGTTCAACGTCTGTTGATGATTAAACGCAAAAATGGATAATCAAGACTTTGTTAATTATCGTGACAGCGGTAACAATGATAATCAAGACTACAATTTCGCGGCTTAGGGTGAAGCAATTTGATTCAACTTTTCAGCACCTTTTTCTATTTACATTATCTAGTTTTTAAATATTCTAATGATAACTACCAGCTCTTTATCCAATCTTCCATAATGTATCTTTAAATAAGCAAGGCTACATTCACTGTAACCCAGGTATTATTCACCATTAATTTCTTTAACATTCATCCAATATAAAATCTTTGTTTGAAAATTCTTAATCGTTTAAAATCACAAAAAAATCATCTAACTTGTACTTATATCCAGTTTAAATACTCAAGATTAAATGATACCTGTGTTACAGTGATTATTTCGTTATTTATAAATCCTTAATTTGTAAAATGTTCAACTTTGTTTTTGTGTGTTTTGAAATGTTTGCTGTGAAATGTAGTTTTCCAAAGTCACTACTTATTGTAACCATGTTTTTTGGGGGTGTCTTTTTGTTCTCCACCATTTTGTGCATTGTCATAGCAGCAGGTATTTCAAGGAAAGTAAAATATTTATTTAACAGTAGTGTACCTGTATGTGGTATTACTCACTAACCTAAAAATAAAATGAAATGGGGGTTTAACACCCTACTGTTCTGAAATGGGGGGTTTAACGTCCTACTGTTCTGAAATGGGGGGGGTTTAACGTCCTACTGTTCTGCTCCGAACTGGGCTAATGAAGATGGGCATACGCCATACAGTGTGCTCTGAGAGACATTTTGCCTGGACGGTGGCGCTAAGGCCTACTCTTATATCGAATTCCAACTTCCAAGGGATCTTTTACATGCACACCAGTGTGTGCATGGGACCACTGACCAACAGAGTTTTCTCTGGGTCCTCCCGCTGTTAAATACCCCATACGTGCAAGCAAATTATTGAAATAAACCATATGTTAGTCGCGAAATGACCTAGCTTGTGTCGAATGGACGTTAAATCTCAGTATCATGTGAGATACACATTGAAAACCTGTATTTAAATAAAGATATCACTGCCACTGGTATTTTTAATGTGAACTACTTGTTTTCCCTAAACATAACAAAATGGCCATTTATCATATTGTTAGGAAAGGGTTCTACATAGAAGAATATATGTAAATAATGATTAATAATGTTGATTTATAACAAGTAGGGCCCGTGTGTAAGATATGTAATTCCTGTTCATGTTTATTTTGTTAATATTATTGATTATTGTTTAAATCTAAGATAGATATATTTACATCAAAAATCATTTACTGCTTTTAATTACTAAGGGTATGCTCAATTGTCAATCTGACAAAATTACAATTTGATTAAAATACAGATGTATATTTCGTTTCGTTTTTTTTTTAAATTTTAAACTTTCGATGTCCTACACTACATGAGGGGTTGAATGGCTGAATGGTTAGCACGTGCGTGCTGTATCATAAGGCCTGTCATTGAGTCAACTGGCGTGGTTTTGAATCCCCGGTTGTACGTGACAAGGAGAAGGGTCGTCTGTCCAACCTCGTGAGTTTTACCCGGGTCCTCCGGTTTCCTCCCACTGCTAAAGACCCCTACGCGCATGCGAATTATTGAAATAAAATTAAAACCATATGTTAGTCACGATATGACCTAGTTTGTGTCGAGTGGTCGTTAAACCCCATTTCTCTCTCTCTCTCCCCACACTACATGAAAATCTGACCAGTTCTAGTGGGAGGTTGCGTTGGGGGTCATACGAGCAGCTTTTGACCCTATGACTTCAGACATTTGATTAACCAGTTAGCTTTGATGATTCTAGGATACGCACAGTTCCGTGCATCGCACGGCAAGATATCGCCGTAACAAACCGTTTCATTGGCAAATCCATCACATCATCCAGAATGCGAATAATATCACATCTCTTCCAGATTCTAGTGTAGTAAATACAAGTAAAACGAAATTTTGAACTATTAAAAATGGAACGAAATAAGATCAGTGTTTTAATCAGATTGACAGAATTGCAATCCATTGACACAAATTTCAATATTTTCCGAGTTTTGTCTGTCCCAACAACTGAGTGTTGGTAGAACTCAACAAGCATGCTTCAGTTGTTGTGATTGCTTGAGGTAATTGTTATTCGGACGACGCATGCGCTTATTGACTCAATTGTCATAATTGAGATAATTTAATTCAGAAACATTCATTTGAGTATCCCTTTAATTTGTAAGATAATTCAGGAAGGGAGATAACTCTCTTTTAAGATGGTGCAGCTTGTAAGATATTCATAGAAAAAAAAAAGGTCATTAAACTAATAAAAAATGAATTTGTATTTATTTGTACAGGTATGTCATAGTTTATTCGTACTTATTATGAAACATTTATCAGTTGTAAATATTATATTGAGGGGGTCACTCGGATAAAATCAGTGCTGAATTAGGGGCTGTTTTCAGATTGAGGGCCTCCAGAATGAAAACTGAATCAAAATATTAAGTATCCTACCTAAATCATTTATTTAATAAAAAAAGGGGGAGTTGTCTTTAAGAGTGTAATTTTGTTTACCCTTCCCACATGTAAATCTGAGACCATTATGGAGTCGACGGGGCTCCCAATAGCCATATCAGGAAACTGTTCAGTATAGGGTACTCACTTTAACACAGGTTATACAGTGGATGACAACAACAGTGTTATAGAAGAACCCTGCAGTATAATATATATAGGATACTTGTTACAACACAGGTTATACTATAGAACTCTGCAGTATAATTATAATATATGGTAGTAAACTCATTACCATACAGATTGAACAGTGCAGGTGGGTGGGGGGGTGGGGGATTTCAAATGTGATTAGGAACCCTTGTATAATGTCTTTTCCTTAGCTTGTCGTTTATTTTGATTGTGCAATTAAACCAATATAATGTTGGTGATTTTTGTCAGTTTGTCAGAAGGATTGATGTGCCATGTAATCAATTAAAGTGATAATTTCATATTTTTACGTTATATTTTTAAAATGTATTAAAATATAGCCTTAAAATAGATGGTATCTATAAACAGTCCTACCTTGTTAAAGAATAATCCTATTAATCCTATAATTCACTATTGCCAGTTGAGAAATTGGCAAAAATATCATTTTCAACTTCAAATTCAAACGTTTGAAGATAGCTATTCCATGGCGGGAATAGAAAATTGTGTTATTATTTCCGGGGTGAATGATTTTTAAGTGTGAGAATGATACCTATGATCGTATAATAGTGAGTTGACAACCTATTGAGCAAAAGACATAGAAATAATTATGTTTTGAATTTCTTAGAAACTATGAAATTCTCGCTTTAAACATAATATAGAACAATTACTTACTTATTTAGGCATAGAGTATTCTCTCCACAATTTGAATTTATAGTTACCATTGGATGCCTGATGATATGTTGACAAATTTTCAATTTTCATCATACATACATATTATCATTGTAAATACAGAAGTCAACCATATTCTCTAATTAGTGATTCAGCTTTCCCAATATTATAGTTTACAAAGGTTTAACAATCTGTCATTTAAACGCACAATACTAGATCTTTGTACGATCTGAGAAATATACTTCTCTAGGGTTCGGGTTAGGGTTAGGTTTATAAATTATATGTCAAACGTACAAATTGAAGCTGTAACAACGGTGGATTGTGGCTAAAACTATTCTGAAGGGTTAGGGTTAGAATTGTGGGTATAAACACGGAAAAATCAAAGATATTTCTCAGATTGGGCGGATCCAGTATCGTGTCATTTAAACATACATTATGCAAGAGCTGAATCTGCCTATTGCAGGTCTTTCTTTAGACCTGAAATGTTATCCAAATTATTAATTAGACCATAATCAACTCTTGATGTCATCGCTAGCCCGCGATGTTTATTGGATTAGGTTCCGATTTGCTGTTCAACTTCCATTCATGATTTAATCATGAAATGGATAATCAAGACTATGTTTTTTATCGTACCGACTTTAGTAATGATGATCGAGGCCAGGCCAAAATTTCAATCTCTTAATTCCCGATTCAGAGTGGATCAATCTGAGTGAAATTTTCAGCAAGTTCCCTTTACATTATCTAGTTTTTAACTATTATAGTGAGAACTGCCAGCTCTTTATCTAATCTCCCATAATGTATCTTTTAACTTCCGAGACTTTAATCAAAAATAGAGTAACATTGTTAGATTTATTTATTATATTTTTCATATAATATATATACATTGATTAGGATTTATTATGATTTTTAAATATGAACAAATCAGCCATAGTTATATACTATTCAATCTTTATAACATCGAGAGGGGAAAGGCTGGAAAAACTTGGGTTGAGCTCAATCTGGGCCTAGATATTACTTATTTCTTCTGGGCCTAGAAAACTTATTGTAACATGATTGAATTATTCAATTGTTACATTATATATGCTAGACATCTATATTGTAACATCATTGAATGATTCAGTTGTTACATATGATCATGCTAGCCATGTATATTTGAAATATCCTTCTGTTACATCATGCTAGCCATCTATATATATTGTAGCATCATTGAATTGTTCAGTTGTTACATCATGTTAGACATATATACATAGTAACATGATTGAATGATTCTATTGTTACATCATGCTAAACATATATACATCGTAACATCATTGAATGATTCTATTGTTACATCATGCTAGATTCTATATTGTATTGTTCAATTGTTATATCATACTAGACATCTTTATTGTAACACGTTTGAATAATTTTATGTAATTAAAATGATTGTAGTATTTCTTTTATACTTCTTAGTTGAGGTTTTTTGTGGGTTTTTTTTTAGCCACAGTGGCTAAGTGGGTAAGATGCTGGCTCGCTAGCCCGGAGGTTACGTGTTCGATCCCTGCAAGTTCATCATGATTTTCCAACTTGGTTTTCTCTTGTCAGTGGTGCAAGACCAAGGGCCTGACTAGGAGAGCTGTCTATTTGCTCATATGGGACAGAAAAACGAGGTCCCGTTTATACATTGGCGTGCACGTAAAAGATCTCTTGGTAGTTGGAATTCGATATAAGAGTAGGTCATAGTGCCGCTGCCCAGGCCAAATTTCCCTTATAGCACACTGTATGGCATATGTACGTCTTCATTAGCCGGTATAGGAGCAGAACAGTGGGACGCTAAACCCCATTTCATTTCATTTCCATTGAGTTTTTTTTATGGATACGAAAATACTAGTCAAATGTGTAAAACTGGACTGTATAAGAAATATGGGAGCCAAGGTGCTTGGTGACAAATTGTTTGCTAAGAAATTCCTTAAAGGCTCAATACCACTCTTGTTGTAACTGAATAAAATGTCCCAATCTTTATTCTGGTCAACAAATTGTACTATTTTACAATATTCCAATTACTTGATGATACAAATTTCATCTTAACACACCTAATTTAAAAAAATTGGAAAAGTTCAACTAAATGATTTGAAAAGCCTAACGTAAACCTTTTCAAATGTGACTTGGATTTTAAAATATTTTCGAACCCTCTGGACAAGTAAAATAAGATGTAATGGATAATTTACACAACAGGTAGGACACTAACACATTTAGTACTTAGAATAAGGCTATTATTTATTTTCTGGAGCTGTCAAGCCAGCAAGAGTGTTATTGTCCCCTTAAAGGACAATATTGGTGCCAGTCATTATCACATGTGATAGAACTGGTTAAACATGTTCCAAATATTATTTTATTACAGAGATCATTGCTACGATAGATGCGTAATCAGTGCTTGAATAATCGGAAGTGACGAACGCAAAAGGAAAACACGAGTTATCCCTCTATATAACTGACTGAAGTGACGAGTGATGGCCTAACCAGAATCTGTAGTACGGTTCCACTACCATATGTATGCCACATTTATTTTTATAAATATATGCATAATTAATGCCACGAATATGTCACATTACAAGACCATTGTAGTGGTATCAATGGCATTCTGAAATCTGAAGTGACATTTCCATGGTAGAGGACACGGGTTTAAATATTTCAAGTTTTGGGCTTAGAGATTGTTGAGGTAAGCTGGCGCAAAAGTAGCCTGGCACCACCCCTGCTAGCAATATCTCAGATTTGAACCAAATTAAACTTGAACTCCAATTGAACAAACTTATTATACTGAACTTGAGAACTTGAAGCGATGAACCATTGTTTGATTCAAGGACAATTTTTAGAGTTCTGCACTGCAGTGTTGGTTGTATCCAAGGCTTTATTTTTGAAATAACTCGATGTCACGTGACCCGTCACATGATATAAAAATGGCGCTGGGTGTAAACAAAATAAAATTGTTTCATAACAGTTATTAAATGTTATATAAGCAGCGTGACAGATTGTCAGGTATGGTTGTATTCACATTGGTTGTAATTATGATCATTTCAAGAGCCCCAGAGAATACAAAATTTAAATGTAGAATTATTTTCATTAATTCTGAACGTTGGAAGACGCTATAGGTACTAGGTAGATAGCAGGAATGCATCACAAACTTAACTTAACTATATAAAAGGGGATATATATATACAACAAATTAGGCTAAAAAAAAAAACTATTCATAAAAAATGGCTATTTACTAAAATTAATATGTAACAGGCATAGTCTGAGTAGAGCGAAGCTGATGTGATTGTTGTTAAATATAAAACCTTCATAATTAATTTTCTCATGTGATACAAGTAATGTTAAATAATCTCGTTTTTCCGAAATGAATTAGGTTTTTAAACACCGACTGTTTAGAATTTAGAGGACTGTTATTGTGCATTTGATACCGCTTAAATCATTAGAGGCCGAGATCGCGTAGCGATCGAGCGCCTCTAATGAAAAATTTAAGCGGTATCAAATGGACAATAACAGTCCAATAAATTCTAAACAGGAGGTGTTTATCGATATTGTAGCCCAAAATATTTAACATTTTTCTTGGAATTCTTTCTTTTGCGATAGTTGACGGTCTTTATTTGGTTTTAATGACGTAAATACCAAGGAAAACAATTTTGACGTAATGAAAATATCCTTGACGTAATAAAATAACATTCATTTCCATTCTATTTGGTTCACTAAGCGACTGGTTAATTGTGTCTGTTTGGAAAGGGAGGTCACTCTGCGATAATTTTAAAGATCGAAACAGAAATTTAAGTGTATTTTATGTACTTTTTAAATGATTTTGAACTCCAGCAGTGACTAGGTTCGAAATAATTGCATATCATGTTTGATAAATGTCCATACACTCGTGTGACCGTGTAGATATATGCTGTGTAGCGTACGCGCGTGGTTGCTATGGTAATTGGCTGATTGGGACCATGGCTGATTGGGACCTGGCTGACTGGGACCAGATTTGTGGCTGACTGGGACCAGATTTGTGGCTGATTGGGACCAGATTCTTGGCTGATTGGGACCAGATTTATGGCTGATTGGGACCACGACAAGGCTCATTCGGGCCATTACTGAAATGACGCGAGTATTTAAAATATGTTTGCATATTTTTGATAATAAGACAACTATGACAATAAATAGTGTAATTAGTCACAAATAATAGTGTAATTAGTGAATGACGGCTTCAATACAAATGAGCTAAATCACAGAGAAGATGTTTCACATTCTTGGCTGATTGGGACCAGATTCTTGGCTGATTCGGACCATGATCAGACCAATGACGTGAGTGTTTTAAATATGTTTGCATGACAATAAATACTACCCAGTATTATCAAATTGTAACCCAATATCAAATAGCCTCATATCAGTATAATTACTGCAACGAATGCGATATTTTGTAATGAGTGAAGTTGAAAAAATGACAGACAAATTGTACTTTGTATAATATTTTAACTTGTAAATATCATTTTATTTCATATAATGAGACATTTGGTGGCGATTCAATTCCTTTACAAACCAATATTTTATTATTTAGTAGTAGCCGAGACAGAGACCTTCCTGATCTAGACAAGTGTTGAATGCAAAACACTAAATTGGTTGACAAATGTGTAAAATTTTCTTAGTAATATACACGTTAAACAAAGTTAATTAAATCACACTTTATAGTATAAAACTCCGGTAGCAATATACAAGACCCTAATCACACCATTTATTGTTAATTAATGACAAGTCTGGTAATCCAATAAATAATCAGATCCAATCACACAAATTCCCTGTTGTGGCTGTCAGTAAGATCTGAGTAATTTTCATGTAGTAATATAGTACACTTTCCTAGATATCACCTACCTGTTTACTTGTGTTAAAATTGAGTCTATAAATCTATTATGTTTTTTTCTGTACAGAGAGAGAGAAATGGGGTTTAACGTCCACTCGACACAAACTAGGTCATTTCGGGACTAACATATGGTTTAATTTTATTTCAATAATTTGCTTGCGCGTAGGGGTCTTTAGCAGTGGGAGGAAACCGGAGGACCCGGAGAAAACCCACGAGGTTGGACAGGCGACCCTGCTCCTTGTCAAGTACAACCAGGGATTCGAAACCACGCCAGTCGACTCAATGACAGACTTTATGATACAGCGCGCGCACGCTAACCATTCAGCCATCCAACCCCCCCTTTTTCTGTACAAGGTAAGATAAACATTTTGATTGCTTTTATATACATCATATTTGAAATAACCGATTACCGTTGCTACTGTATTACTGGTATTAGTTTTCAAATTTGTATGGTTTAAACATTATTTCTATAACATAATTACACACAATATATGTATAATGGATTCGGATTTCCGTTATGCTACTGTATTGCTAGTATTAGTTTTCAAATTTGTATGACTTATTGAAATTAGCATAAATTGGTTTAAACAGTATATCTACGTATAATTACACACAATATATAGGCTATAATGGATTCCGAAACAAGCTATGAAGTTTATAAAATAAAATAAAAATGATCTGTTTAAATTGCATAAAACGTATAATAATTTACATAAGATTAATGAGATAATCTCTGTTAATGGAATATAAACATAAATAACGTAGGCCTACATAAAAGCACATAATTATAGTCACGCTATAGCCTAGATAAAACTTTTTAAAACTTAATTCAATATCAAAACCTCAGTTTCTAGTATTTTTTATCGTGTGGTCCGAATCAGCCTAGTGGTGGTCCCAATCAGCCTGGAATGTGGTCCCAAGCAGCCTGGAATGTGGTCCCAATCAGCTTTGACTTTTGGTCCCAATCAGCCATGGTCCCAATCAGCTTGTTTACGTTGTCATTTCGACGCTTTGATTTTTTTCTTCTTCGCAAAATACCCTGGCCTGTGTTTAGGGTGGCCACCTTTGCATGATCATATTGCGGGACATTATCTTTTTTGCATAACAATGTTGATATAATTTTTTATAGTCACTTCACTTTTCGTCATAGCAACAATAGAAAATCAAACTATGAAATATTCACACAAGCTTGGTTTGTATTCGTATGTCATTTGATATTTAGGATAATAATACATAGCAACAATATAAATTCAAGTCAATATAAATTTCTTTTGTAGCTGTAATAATACCCTTCTTTCATTTAAACAAAATATATAAATTATTAAATTGTGCGACAGAACTGTTTGAAAGGCTGCGTGTAATATTTCATGGCGTTGAATGAAATTTTTAAGTTACAATCAAATGACTGACGAATTATCATCCATGTATCGCTAAATTAAATCAGGCAGGCCGAGGGTATTGAAACGTTTTGAGATTTTATCGCTAATGTTTAATCATGCTGAAAAATCATGCCGAAGGTAGTGAAACGTTTTGAGATATTATCGCTTAAGTTTAATCATGCTAAACATTGTGAAAACAACTGATTAAAATTTTATAATAACTTTTATAAAGGATGTTATGCTGGTTAAAGATGCATAATTTAAGAGCTGGGTGGGTTGGGTGGCCGAATGGTTAGCACGTGCAAGCTGTATCATAAGGTCTGTCATTGAATCAACTGTTGTGGTTTCGATTCCCCGGTTGTACGTGACAAGGAGTAGGGTCGCGGTCACCTGTCCAACCTCGTGCGTTTTCTCCGGGTCTTCTGGTTTCCTCCCACTGCTAAAGACCCTTACACGCAAGCGAATAATTGAAATAAAATAAAATAATGTGTTTGTCCCAAAATGACCTAGTTTGTGTCGAGTGGATTTAAACCCCATCTCTCTCTCTCTCTCTCTCTCTCTCTCTCGCTCTCTCTCTCTCTCTCTCTCTCTCACTCTTTGGTATATTCGAGACTTAGCCTCGCTTTCCCATTTTTAAATTAAATTTTTAAATGGCGAACCGTTAAAATCTCGAGTATCCAATGCCATCGAGAATTGATTATGGTCTTATTTTGTTAGTTCATATAACAGTTCAAGCCTAAAGAAAGACCTGCAAAAGGCAGATTTAGCTCTTGCATAATGTTTGTTTAAACTATTATTGCAAGAACTGTCAGCTCTTTATCTAAATCTTACGTAATGCATCTTTAACTTTCCCTGGTTGATCACCATGACATGCTATATTAATAATACAAGATACCTTTACACGATCATCTGTTATACGTCAATAGATATATTTGAATTTTAATATTTCAGAGACGGCAAAGTGAAAGCGAATGTAATTGATACTCCATTAAACCAAGTATACATATCAAAATAAAGGAATAAGCAATTCGATACATCCGTTGTCTTCCAGTAGTTTTTTTAGTATATAAAATAGAAATACATAAGTCTTCGGTCACGGCAAATGCCCCAGTAGTCAGCTAATGTTGTTTGTTTATGTGATTCACCATGTAACAAATTTTAATACTAGTATTTATTTAATTTTATTATTGTTTGGGTAAGAGAGGGGTTGGGTGGCCCATTGGTTAACGCATGCATTTTAGATCATAAGTTCTGTCATTGAGTCAAGTGGCATGGTTTCGATTCCCCGCTTGTAGGTGACAAGGAATGAGTTCGCCATCTAACCTCGTCGACTGGTTTCCTCCCAAAGCTAAAGACCTTATGTGCAAGCGAATTATAGTTTGTTTCACGTGGGCGTAAAATTCCATTTATCTTTTTCTCTCTCTCCTCTCTCTCGACTGTTTTGACAATAATTGACTTTGGTAGTTTATTCCATAGAAAAGGTCTGACATAGGACAAAGCACGTTTTCCAAGTTGAAAGTTAATATTTGGAGATTTCCAAAGATGTACTGTATGAGAACTTTGATTACTACTGGTAGTTCAGGTCTTTACAATATTTTTTAAATATAAAATGTGAATTAATTATATTCGTTTAATTTAATTTTAGTATGGTGACGGTCGTGGTGTTGTAGGTTGCGCTGGTGGTAGTTGTTGTAGTTGTAGTGCAAGAGAGGGGTGGGGTGTCAATGTTATATAAATTATATTCGTTGATTTTTGTCAATATTTTCCATTTCTTATGTTTATTATATTAAAACATATATTTCTTTGAGTTAAACGTAAATGAAATGGGGGTTTAACGTCCGACTAGGCTAATGAAGACTGGCATACGCCATATTGTGTCTTATGAGGGAAATTGTGCCCGGGACCGGTGCTACGGCCTACTCTTATATCAAATTCCAACTGCCAAGGATTCTTTTGCGTCTCATCCGAATGAGTATACATTGACCAAAACCATCTGTCCTGCACCAGTGACAAGGGGGGACCATGCCGGTGGATTTCGGTGGATTTTCAGAATAAGTCCGGCAGACCTATGACTGAACCTGGAAATTGTATACAAAGTTTTTTTATGATTGATTTTAGTAGCCTAGGGTGTCCTCGTTCAGAATCTGCCGGGTGAACCTCAGTCACCCTTAAGCGTTTTGAGAAATTCAAGATGGCGCCCAAGACGTCCGCCACATCAAATAATCCCCTATAGCTCCCATAGTATTTATTCTAGGATGATAATTTTAGTGTCTAACCGTATGTTTCTGGGGTCAAGGAATACACTGAAATCATTTATTATGTTGTGGGGTGATTAGATGATATTAAAATCAAACATTCCAGACAATATGACCCTTTAACTCGTTATCGGCGGTTGGGGGCGATTATTTCACCGAACCAAACTAAATCTAGAGACAAACTATATATTTCTGGTCATAGGAGCGTACGAGTGATAGGATAACACCAAATACAGCCCTATCAGGGGCTCCGGGGCCACATGGGTCGGTTCTGTAAATGGAGACAAGCTGATTGTTGAACATTTAAAAAAAAAACTATTTCTAACCGCAAAACAGGAACATAACTTCCACAAAACTAGGTAATATCCAGTTTAATACTTTAGTCGTGTTTCTGGGAGAATTAGTCTCTGTCCTATTCATATCAGTTTCAGCCCGACTTGTATATTTTTTAAAACATATCCCAATCAGTTATTTACGGTCCATACGGGGTTCAATAAATTGTAGTATTTTTATTGACTTGTTGAAAATCTTCGATTTTGACCAGTCTGATTATGACAGAATATGACCATAGCAACCATTATGGTCAGACCAGCCTTGAAATGAAATTTACCCATTATGTTTCAGATACACTCACTATCTTTGTTTTTTTGTGTTTCAGGTGTGTGTTTCAATGAGCCAATTGTTGAATTTCATTGTTGATCACATACAAGAAAAAAGTCATGCAGATTTCCTAGAATAAAGTTTTGAGGTGTAGAATTTTTGGCCACTGCAAACAGAGTCTAGCACACAGAAAATATTTATTCGCAGTGAGTCGCCCAGGAAATTTAGAGGACTGTTATTCTCATTCGACGCCACTTTTCAACCAATCAAAATCCAATAAATTTCCATTTTGGGCTACAATTTAATATAGATCTAAATTATATGAATAATTTTGTTAAAAAAAGAACAAAAAAGTGTGAGAATTATTTTCATTGACGTCTGTGGTGACAGTTTTAGTGACGCTCCTGTGTTAACGGAAAAGAGTTTTGCTCAAGCACCGCGCTTCGCTGTATATTATTTAGTGGGTGAGCCCCTAATCAAGAGAGAGAGAGAGAGTGCAAGATGGGGTTTATAACCTTGACTCGACACAAGCTAGGACCCAGAGAAAACCAACGAGGTTGGACAGGCGACCCTACTCCTTTTCACATACAACCGCGAATCGAAGCCACGCCAGTTGACTCAATGACAGACTTTATGATACGCACGCACGAACCATTCGGCCATCCAGCCCCATTCCACTATCCAAGAAGTACTTAACAGTTGACCGGACGTTAAACCCCATTTCATTTCTAAGAATTGTTGGCAAAGGTTGGGTCATTTTCCAGAATGAAGATCTGAAAGGGAACTGCATCTAGTTGCTTGGATGGGAAGAAAAAACTAGAGCCTACAGAAAAATAGGCCTTATAATTTTGAACCAGAATGCATTTCTAAAAATAATATGTCAAATTGTTTAATTAAATTTTCATCACAATTATTTTTCTGAAATCGCAGAAAAAGAAATTTTTAAAAAAGTGTAATTGTTGATATTTACAGATCATTGTTAGCCCAAGGACTAAGATAGAATTTAGTGAATAAAATCAACCACATAATCCCCTGATATAACCCACATGATATAAAATATGGCAACTGTTCTAGCAGGAGGAGTGGAAATATCTCGAATACTCAATGGTATGTGGCAGGTATCTGGGGCTCACGGCCATATTGATCCTGTTAAAGCAGGTAGGAATTTTATCAGCCTCTATATAAGTAAAAAGAAAAATTCAATTAAAGGAGCTAAATCGCTATTCTATGGCACCTAGAAATTGAAACAGATGGGTTGCAACTCATGTAATAATGTATTATGAATGTTATATAAACTGATTTACATTCAATCGTTTCAGTTTTTATTCTAATTTCAAATCAGTTATGTTCGGCGAAATATGCGGAGAGTGCAAATTGAATGGCAGTCTTTGGCATCTGGTTATTCCAGTCTACTCTGGTAATTTTCCCTTGTGGGATCTGTTTAGCTTCGTTCACCGATTCAAGTCATTACAAATGGCACTGGGAAGCATTCTGGCATGCGATTCATGAGCCAATTTTAAAGTTTTTGTTTTGTCTTAAATATTGGATATCAGAAGCCCATCTTTTCACTGTAAGATAGCTTCATCAGTGTTGAATTAAATCGTGTTTTCATTTTGGAAGACTTTGTAAATGTATAATTTATTGAAAAAAAATTAAACCATATGTTTGTCCCGAAATGACCTAGTTTGTGTCAAGTGGACGATAAACCCCATTTCTCTCTCTCACTCTCTTTTTGTTGAACTGATAGAGAAAATAAAAAAAATGCTTTTTAATAGAAAAAAATGATGATCGATTAAAACTAATATGAATTGTTTCAGCTGATGATCCATGTATATGAATTGTTGTTGATGTTTCAGCTGATGAAATGTTACTCTACTACGATGCTGGATTAACAACATTTGATATGGCTGATATATATGGTCCAGCAGAGGAAATATATGGTCTGTTTATTAAAAAGGTAAAGAAAATATCATTATTTATCCATAGATTTAGTACACTCCATCTGACCATGATCTGTTTAGTATCTCACCATTATTTTGGGGCTTGGATGGCCAAAATGGTTAGCACGTGCACGCTGTATCATAAAGTCTGTCATTGAGTCAACTGGCATGGTTTCGACTCACCAGTTGTATGTTACAAGGAGTAGGGTCGCCTGTCCAACCTTGTGGATTTTTTACTGGGTTCTCTGATTTCCTCCCACTGCTAAAGCCCCCTACGCGCAAGCGAATTATTGAAATAAAATTGAACCATATGTTACTCCCAAAATGACCTAGTTGTGTCGTGTGGATGTTAAACACATTTCTCTCTCTCTCTCTCTCTCATCAATATTTATAGTATCCCACCATGATCTATTTAGTATCCCACCATGATCTATTTAGTATCCCACCATGATCTATTTAGTATCCCACCATGATCTATTTAGTATCCCACCCATGGTCTATTTAGTATCCCACCATGATCTATTTAGCATCCCACCATGATCTATTCAGTACCTCACCATGATCTATTTAGTATCCCACCATGATCTATTTAGTATCCCACCATGATCTATTTAATATCCCACCATGATCTATTTAGTATCCCACCATGATCTATTCAGTACCTCACCATGATCTATTTAATATCCCACCATGATCTATTTAGTATCCCACCATGATCTATTTAATATCCCACCATGATCTATTTAATATCCCACCATGATCTATTTAGTATCCCACCATGATCTATTTAATATCCCACCATGATCTATTTAGCATCCCACCATGATCTATTTAGCATCCCACCATGATCTATTTAATATCCCACCATGATCTATTTAATATCCCACCATGATCTATTTAATATCCCACCATGATCTATTCAGTACCTCACCATGATCTATTTAATATCCCACCATGATCTATTTAATATCCCACCATGATCTATTTAATATCCCACCATGATCTATTTAGTATCCCACCATGATCTATTTAGTACCTCACCATGATCTATTTAATATCCCACCATGATCTATTTAATATCCCACCATGATCTATTTAGTATCCCACATGATCTATTTAGTATCCCACCATGATCTATTTAGTATCCCACCATGATCTATTTAGTATCCCACATGATCTATTTAGTATCCCACCATGATCTATTTAATATCCCACCATGATCTATTTAATATCCCACCATGATCTATTTAATATCCCTCCATGATCTATTTAATATCCCACCATGATCTATTTAGTATCCCACCATGATCTTTTCAGTATCCCACCATGATCTATTTAATATCCCACCATGATCTATTTAATATCCCACCATGATCTATTAACTATCCCACCATAATCTATTTAATATCCCACCATGATCTATTTAGTACCTCACCATGATCTATTTAATATCCCACCATAATCTATTCAGTACCTCACCATGATCTATTTAATATCCCACCATGATCTATTTAATATCCCACCATGATCTATTCAGTATCCCACCATGATCTATTCAGTACCTCACCATGATCTATTTAGTACCTCACCATGATCTATTTAATATCCCACCATGATCTATTAACTATCCCACCATAATCTATTTAATATCCATTCATCCCACCCTTATTATTGAGTATTATGACCGGTAAGTGACATCTGTTGGCTGTTTATATTCACATAGCCTGTAGGTGTTATGTATATATATGTATGTTTTTATATTTGACAGTTGGCTAAAGAGAGAGGAGAAGAAGCAGTGAAGAAAGTTCAAGGTTTTACCAAGTTTGTACCCAGACCAGGACCAATGACAAAACAGGTTACAATTTTTAATAATTCAAAAATTTATATATGTGGGGGTGGGGTGGGGACAGGTCCACCAGGAAAAGTAATAGTCGGTTTCAAAATTATGCATCGGTGACTAAATGAATTAATGAGGTCAACAAACAATGCCAAAATAGTTGGTACCCAGACCAGGACCAATTACAAAACAGGTTACAATTTTTAATAATACAAAAATTTGTATGTGGGGGTGGGGTGGGGACAGGTCCACCAGGAAAAGTAATAGTCGGTTTCAAAATTATGCATTGGTGACTAAATGAATTAATGAGGTCAACAAACAATGCCAAAATAGTTGGTACCCAGACCAGGACCAATGACAAAACAGGTTACAATTTTTAATAATACAAAAATTTGTATGTGGGGGTGGGGTGGGGACAGGTCCACCAGGAAAAGTAATAGTCGGTTTCAAAATTATGCATTGGTGACTAAATGAATTAATGAGGTCAACAAACTGCCAAAATAGAAGGAAAAAAATCAAAAATACTTAATATATGTATGAATATATCTGTGGGGGGTTCGGATGGCCGAATGGTCAGCACATGCGCGCTGTATCATAAGGCCTGTCATTGAGTCAACTAGGGTGGTTTTGTATCCCCGGTTGTACGTGACACGAAGTAGGGTCACCTGTCTAACCTCGTGGGTTTTCTCCGGGTTCTCTGTCCAACCTCGTGGGTTTTCTCTGGGTCCTCTGGTTTCCTCCCACTGCTAAAGACCCCTATGCGCAAGCGAATTATTGAAATAAAATTGAACCATGTGTTAGTCCCAAAATGACCTAGTTTATGTTGAGTGGACGTTAAACCCCATTTCTCTCTCTCTCTCTCTCACGATTGCTTTGATTGGATAACACAATACGCGCCAGTTTTTCAAAGCTCAAATTAATAAAAACTGTTATGCGTTCAGTAATGACAAAGGAACGACTCAATGAACTAATGACTCTTGCGTGTGAGCCTGATCTGACGGACGCGATTGATCTTGACAAAATCGGCAATCGCTAGTCAAACTTTGCTAAGCGTGGACGTGTGATAAAAATATGAGGATATAGTCATATCTTTGCTACTTTATGTATATTCACCACTACAATATATCGAAGATACAGATCCTTGTAAATGATATAATTATTATCACTTTCTGAAGTTGTCACAGATTCACAGTATCAGGTACTTTGTACGTTCTTACAAAATTTGTAATAAATAACACGGATTCCCATATAAGGGTTTTCTGACCAACAGAATTCGGCAAAATCTTCCCCCAAAGTTCCAGAAATGGCATTTCAGGGACTCTCGATTCAAAAATTTCTGCTGGGGAGCATGCCCCTGGACCCCTATAGAATGTTTGTACCTGCTGTGCTCGGCTCATGGCTGCTTCAAACATATTAGGGGCCAGTGCATCAGTCGGTTTCATTTTTGCAAAACAAAATCGATATATGTATGCCCCTGTGCACACTCCCTACACACATAATTCATATATATTATAATTTTATTGCAGACAAGATGAAATATTAGGTTATTTAAAACTAACACAGTGTTAAAGCACACTAAGACTATTTGTGGAATAACAATTACTGGTTTATTAACATGCAACGTTTACACAATTTGCTTGATAAAGACGAGAATATCATCGAAACGTTGCATGTTAATAAACCAGTGATTGTTATTCCATAAAATAGTGTTAGTGTGTTACTGTTCAATTACTAAATGCCACTTAAAGGGCCAATCCCGATAATATTTTGGAGAATAAAACTGCTTAATTTGTGCTGAAATCCCTTAATATCCTCTACCCTAAGGCTGAGCAATTAACTCAATATATGTGATACGTTTTCAATCAACTTAAACCCGTCAGTATTTATCTGGAAATGGAGACCGGTGTCCCAATCTGTTGTTTGGATAAAACCAACTTTTTTTTCTATAAAAATAAAGTGTAGGTGAAATTTACCTTTCGTTATCAAGTATACAGCACACGGGTCATTCAGTGTATAGACCTCTAAAGAAACGGGAATTGATTATCAGGTCACCCAACAAAAAATTGACCCGAAATCTTAAAAGGATTACGTGTCCGGATAAGCAGTCTTGATGTTCACGTCCAAACGACTCAATATTTTGAGCTGAAATTTTAAGACAAGGTAAATATACCACTCCTAAATATTTTGGCGCTTAAATTTCATATGTACTCGCACTTTTACTTTTGAGACTCTGTTCAATTTGGGATAGCCCCTTTAAAGAAGTGTTAAAGCAATATGATTAAAATACAAATCTATATTTCAGTTCGTTTTTTTATACTTTCGATGGCCTACACTACTAAAGTGAAGACAAGTAAAACGAAATTTTGAACTATAAAAAACTAAACGAAATAGAATCTGTGTTTTAATCAGATTGTTTTTGTGTTAGATGTACAGATTTATAAGATGAAGAAATTTGGTTCAAGGACTTTTCAGTATAATGCATCAATTCTATGGAATTCGCTACCATCTTCCATTCGAAAATGTAAAACACTGTCTATCTTCAAATCAAGTGTGAAAACCTGGCTGTTTAGTCACTATAATTAACCCACATGAACACTTTCATGCGCCTAGAGCATCCCCAAGTGGGTTGAATTGTTGCGCAATATAAATTTCGTTATTATTATTATTTATTATTATTCATTAACTCTTGAGATTAATTGCCAATTAGCACTGTAACGTTGATATCATTGACTAAGCAACAAATAACTATTATAATTGAAAATATACAACACTAATGTGTATTATAAATTAGTTAGTTAAAATTGTTAGTAATCAGGCAGTAGTCATTAAGGTGTTAAAACTGTGACTATTGAATGATATACACAACTATTTCCAGGTTTGTGATGGGTATTATAAATAGTCATGCTTTTACACGAGTAGTGACATGTTTTACAGCTAGTTACACACCTGCTAATTAATGACAACTTTATAATTTCTAACTTGCTATACATACTAAACATTAGTTTAGAATAATGACCACTTATATGATTTAATGACAAAAATTGTCATTACTAAAAGGCCTAGCTTCATTTGTCCATGGTATCAGCTTACCAGTGTATCAACCTTCCAATAAATTTAAAAAATCAGTTAAAACTTTAAATTTCATTTACTCAAGACGATAAAGTCGGTATCTCGATTACTTGGCTTTTCAGCCCTCCATTTGTGAAGATGAGTAATCTAATATACAAATGGAGATTTACGACGGTATCTGCCACTAAAGGCGATCTTATATAATTTAATGACAAAAATTGTCATTACTAAAAGGCCTAGCTTCTTTAGTCAACAGTATCACCTTATCAGTGCAGGATCAATGGAATTATATCTTCATTATAAACAATATTTTATATACAGAAAAGGCTTGAGGAACAGGCTAGGCCTATATTATTACCCCTCTCAATGATATTATATTGTTTATGCCATTGCCAGATATTGTATTGTTTATGACAGGTAGTGGAAGCAGCTGTTAGAGAGTCGATGAAGAAAATGAATGTATCTAAAATCGACTGTGTTCAGTTCCATTGGTGGGATTATAGCGACAATAGATATATAGATGCCATGGTACATTTAACAGATTTAAAATCACAGGGTTTAATAGGTCTGTACACATTACTATGGTTCCTGTACAATTAAACACATTTTTAACAGACATTTTTAGCATGGTTCCAGGAATTTCACTTTCAGTAAGTTTTGGGTCAATCATGTATGATATTGTGCTTTGGGTCAATCATTTACTCATAGCTTTTTCTTTCCATCATATTCCTTTCCATTTCATGTCGTTCTTTTCCATTTCATGTCATTCCTTTCCATTTCATGTCATTCCTTTCCATTTCATTCCTTTTCATTTCATTTCTCTTCATTTCATTCCTTTCATCTCATGCCTTTCCATTTCATTCCTTTCAATTTCATTCCTTTCCATTTCATTCCATTCCATTTCATTCCTTTCATTTCATTTCATTCCTTTCCTTTTCATTCCTGTCCATTGCATTTTTTTCTGTCCAGATCAAACTTAATCAACTCTGTTTTTAAGACTTTATGAACTGTATTACTAGATTCCTATATTATTTTTGACTAAAGGTGAGGTGTCATTGACTAATTTTGATACAAACAGAATGAAGGAGATGACAGATAAAGGTATCATCCTGTCCAGTAACCAAGTTCAGTATTCTCTGATTGATACCAGACCTTCTGTTAAAATGGCTGACTTCTGTTTAAAACATAACATCAAACTTCTTACCTATGGAACACTGTGTAAGTTAACTTCTCATTAACTTCGGACACAAACTAGGTCTTTTCATGCGAGAGGGTTTAACGTCCACTCAACACAAACTAAGTCATTTCGGAACTAACATATGATTCAATTTTATTTCAATAATTCGCTTGCGCGTAGGGGTCTTTAGCAGTGGGAGGGGACCTGGAGAAAACCTGGATAATCAAAACCATGCCAGTTGACTCAATGACAGACCTTATGATACAACGCACACGCGCTAACCATTCGGCCATCCATTCGGCCATCCATTCGATCACCACCCCCTTCCAACAACAATTAAAACTAATGTAAATTTAGATGACCGTAGTTAGAATTGATCGATTTTAATCATTTTGCCCGGAACCGGAAGTTGTGTAACTCCGAAACCGGAAGCGGTAGTGCAGCACCACGAGGCCAGTGTTACTCCCGGTCTGAACTACCCCTACTATACACCAAATTCCATTCTCGGGACAGCCCTAGTGTAGCCGATAACCCTGAACAGACAAACAAACGACTTTCACAAATATTGGTATAAATAGATGTTCTGTATTTGTTTTGAATGATTAGATTACAATGCTTATTTATTTTTGTTTAATTAGGTGGAGGTTTATTAAGCGAGAAATATTTAAGTCAACCGGAACCAAAATCTATAAGTGAACTAAATACAGCATCGCTGAGCAAATACAAGAAAATGATAGGTGAGTCCATTAATTACGTACTGCCAATCTGTTTCACAGAGGAGAGAGAAATGGGGGTTTAACGTCCACTCGACACAGACTAGGTCATTTCGGGACTAACATATGGTTTAATTTTATTTCAATAATTCGCTTGCGTGTAGGGGTCTTTAGCAGTGGGAGGAAACCGTAGGACCCGGAGAAAACCCACGAGGCTGGACAGGCAACCCTACTCCTTGTCACGTACCACCGGGGATTCGAAACCATGCCAGTTGACTCAATGACAGGCCTTATGATAAAGCGCGCACTTGCTAACCATTCGGCCATCCCCCCCCCCCGTTCGTTTCACAGAGGATTACGAAAGTCTTCTAATATCTCTGTAAAAGATAACTACCTTGAACACGTGGCATCTCATCACGCGGCGTCAATCATTGGCTCAATGGCGCGTGCATTGCTGGTTCGGGCGAAATGGAGCCTTTTAATACCCATTTACACTAAATAGGAAATAATTTTTACCTACAAATACGTCAAACGTGTTTATTTATTTTTTCTAATACATAAAAAAAATGTTTTAGAATTTAATTTGTCGGAGGAAAAAAGTTAAAATTTGTCGCTCATTAAGTCGCATCGATGTCATCCTTATCAGTGATTGTCACGGCCTAGCGAATATTCACTGCTGATCAGTGTGACGTACTGCTTCTACAACAAAAATCTCGTTTCGCTCGGTTATCAGACCGACAGTTATTAAATTGGTTATTCCGAACATGACGGAGATATCCGGAAAACGACGAAGATTGTATCAATTTTGTATTGTGTTTAGAGTATGACGCTGATATACTAACCATAACATTCGGGATGTGACGCGGGTCTTCCTCAAGAACTTTCAGCGTGGTCGCACCTTGTCAGTGCTGCAGAACGAAGAGCCTGTCAATGAACGGTGTATTATCGCTCGGGTGGAACGGCCCCCCACCCCTCTCCCGAAACGAAGAACATTTACTTAGCAAGCTACTTCCAATTCCACGCTAGAATTAAAACCAGACCATTCTTGAGGTGTCGCAGTTATGTTTTTTTTTGGGGGGGGGGGGTCGTCTTGTTGTTAAACGCTAGTGTAAAATCGCAAGGTCTGTCTTTGAATCAAATGCCATTGTTTGGATTCACCGCTGGTCCTGGCAAGGAATAGGGTCGACCTTCCAACCTCGTGGGTTTTCCCGGTTTCCTCTCACTGCTAAAGCCTCCTACGCACAATCGAATTATTGAAATAAATTTGAATCATGTGTAAGTCCCGAAATGACCTAGTTTGTGTCGATTGGACGTTAAACCCCACCCCTCTCTTAACTTGTTGGGTGTCTCATCTATTCACCTATGGTGTTTGTATCAATATTGAAAGCCACAGTGGCTCAGTGAGTAAAACCTTGGCTCACTAAATTGGAGGCATTCCCCTGTACGTAAAAGAACCGTTGGCAGTTGGAATTCGATATAAGAATAGGCCGTAGCGCCGCTGTCCGGGCAAAATTTCCCTCATAGCACACTGTATGGCGTATGCCCGTGTCTTCATTAGCCCAGTCGGATCAGAACAGTAGGAAGTTAAACCCCATTTCTTTTCATTTGTATTCCATAAAAGGGTGTTTTTTTGTATCGATCTGAGTAGATTTTAACGGTGAAGATTTAGATAGTGTCAGTGGCTTTCATTTGTAATATATTTTTTTCAGATGCATGGGGAGGTTGGAGGCTTTTTCAAGAGCTTCTAAATACCTTAGATACCGTTGCCAAGGAACATCACGTTTCTATAGCAAACGTTGCTACTAGATACATTTTGGATCAACCTGCAGTTGGCGGAGTTATTATTGGTTGTCGTTTTGGTGTTCCTGGGTGCCAGCATATAGACTCTAATCTAAAATCTTTTCATTTAAAACTAACAAATTCTGATATTGACAAGATAGAATCGGTGATAAAAAGAGGAAAAAATTTAATGAGTATGATTTGAGATTGTGGAGACGAATATAGATAAAATAGACATTATATATTATTATATAATCGACTATAGTCAGTATATTTTACATTAAACTATATTATAATATAATCGGCAATAGTCATTATACATAAGCTATAGTTATTATATAATCGACTATAGTCATTATGTTTGCAATAGTCATTATATTTAACATAAAACTATATTATTATATAATCAGCTATGGTCATTATATTTTACATAAAACTATATTATTGTATAATCGACTATAGTCATTATAATTTACATAAAACTATAGTCGATTATATAATAATATAGTTTAATGTAAAATAAATTGACTATAGCCGATTGTATAATAATAGTCATTATATTTTACATTATACTATATTATTATATAGTCGACTATAGTCATTATATTTTACATTAAACCATATTATTATATACTCTTCAAAAAAAGTAGGAGATATTGAAATGTAAATACCTATGCAGGTTGTGATATAATAAATAGTCTTGGACACTGGACATTCTTTGAGAGTATTTTCACAGATGAAGAACTTATCGCCACAACAGAGGCACCGAGCTGCACATATGCGAAACGCAATAGCACCATATGTTACGATTGGTAATATATGACTATATGTGTTTAATATTTTATATTCCAAATCTAACAACAGACATACTTTGACCGGGAAAGTCGCGCATTCCTGCTCCAGCTAAGCGTTGCTGTTAGTTCGTAATTAGAGTCTTGTAAATCGAGACTTGCATATTGAAGTCAGAATAGCGCAGTGACGTAGGAACCAGTCTGACGTCATTTAGAGCAGGTTGTCTAGTCTGTCACTAACAGGGATGGCATCGGTGTGGTTAATGAGTCCCCAAATATTAACTTTTTTCCTTCTGCAAATTAAATTCTAAAACATTTTTTTTAAGTATTAGAAAAATAAATAAAGGTGTTTGAAGTATATGTCATATTTAGTGTAAATGGATAAATGAGTAAAAGGGACCATTCTGTCTGGACCAGTAACGTCTTATGTAAACAATGCACGCGCCATTAAGCCAATGATTAACGCCGCGTGATGTGACGTCATATGTTGAAAGCAGTCAGCAGTTATTGGAAGACTTTCGTAATCCTCTGTAAAACAGATTGAGGCATTGCTAGCAATGCAGTACTACTGGACTTCTTTCCTTGTTGTGTTTGTTTTCTTCGTGATCGTAATAACACTACAGAATAAATGGTTTTACAACTTTATTGCTAAGCTGTAATGGCTTTGAAGGTTCCTCGTTCTCAATAATAATAGCAGCTTGGAATATCTCGGTGAGCTCTGACCAATCTCGCTCAACACCCTGTTTTATAACCCCCTAATTTCTGCACGTCTTAGATAGTATCTTAGATAGCCTTGACGTTAATTTACATCCCAAATATGGAATAAACCTCTTCACAAGACCAGAGGAGGAAACATTACCTTATTTGGTCTACCAACCATAGGTCAATAAACAGATAGAATTTGATGGATATTTTGACAATGGTTATGATTTTTCCAAAATATCACTGTTTTTTTACGTATAACTATATATTCACGTTCATTAAGTACGTGTGATTTGACTCTATAGACAGAGTGAAGTATCAAGTTTTCAAAGAACCAAAGTGCTAACAGAATGCCATGGATCCGTGGGTCGGTCGTAAACCAGACCCGTAGCTAGCTAGCGCGGGGGGGGGGGGTGCAAGGGGGCCGATTGACATTGGTTGGGCTGCCCCCCCCCCCTGCCCCGCTAACCACGGACCTGTCAAAGTTTACTGGAATGTAATATATTACAACTAAAGTATTTTTGTTCTAAGTGTCGACATGCAGCCGAAAGTGTCAACTTGTATATTGTATAACTTTAATCTGATTAAAACACAGATCCTATTTCGTTTCGTTTTTTATTGTTCAAAATTTCGTTGGTTGTTGTCGTTGTTTATTACAGATTTAACGTCCAATACAATAAATAATAATTCTCAGACTTAAAGAGTTGAAAATTGGTAAAAACACAAAGATAAATAAGTTAATAAGTCGCCTAGTAAGTCACCTAAAAGTCAATAGGCTCTGAAATAGTTGTCATATAACCCGTGTTCTGATTGGTATGAGGGATTAGCCAATGAAACAGTCTTTTACGGCGAGTTCTTGGCGTGCGTTGCAGTATCCCAGTAGAAACACCAACGCTGATTAGTTAATCAAACGTCTGACGTCATAGGGTCAAATGCCGCTCCCATGACCCCCCACTACAACTGGTCAGATCTTTATGTAGTAGAGGCCATCGAAAGTATATACAAAACGAAACGAAATATAGATCTGTATTTTTATCAGAGTTGTATAGCGTGTAAATTCATCGACCACATTATAGACCACATTCCGTCTGTCCGTCCGGCGTCCACAATTGTTTGTGGGCTCTCTGGGGATTAAAGTTAATATCTTCGAATATGACTTCAAATATATACACAGGTCATGAGACAAAGACGCCCATATTGATTCTCAAGGATTTCCGATAATTACTGCCAGAAATATGGCCCTTGATCAAATTGAAAAATCTGATTAATCAAATATCCGATTGACATTAAATGTATCCATAGTATTCAAGGTCATAAGAGGAGGAAACCTATTAAGTTTCAACCATTTACGATAATTACTGTCAGAGTTATGGTCCTTGATCCCTAGAGATTTTAAAAGGTCTTTAGGAAAATACTATAGTATTCTACAGATTTTGTTATAGTTCTTCCTGTAGGCCAAGTCAAGTAAGAGTTGCGCCCCTTCACGCAATAAATCTCGTAATTCTTGCATTAATATAAACAAACATAGATCGTTATGACGACTCGACTACTGTAACAGTTTACTCTATGGTATAAATCAGAACCTGATAAACAAACTTCAAACTGCTGCCAGGATCGTCTGCAGATCTGACAGAAACTGTCACATTACACCTGTTTTAAAAGAACTGCACTGGCTACCAATCACCCACAGAATCCATTTCAAACTCCTGTGTATGGCCCATAAATGTTTAAATGGAACAGCCTTAGAATATCTTAGTTCAATGCTATCTGAATATATCCCCAAACGCACCGTAAGGTCAAAAAATCATCACCTTCTAACAGTACCAAGTTATAGACTTAACTCCTTTGGGTTTCGACGATTTTCCCCACAGTGTGCCAAAACTATGGAACTATTTACCCGTAAATCCCAAAACTTCGCAATGTTTGGAAACTTTCAAATCAAAATTAAAATCGCATATGTTTGAATCCTGTTATAAAGAGTGAACTATAAAACTGAAGGAGCTAAACAAACCTGCGCCATGAGCATACTGTTTGGATGGAATGCGCGCAATATAAATATTCATTATTATTATTTATTATTATTATTATAAAAAACCCACATAGATATGGCCCATTAAAAGAGAAATTTTACAATAAAAAAATTAAGGGTGTTGGCAATGCAAACAAATGGATTACTGAAATGACATTTTCAAATTTAATTTCATGGGCGTCAACATCTTGTTTTAGGACTAGTTACCTCCCTTAGACTTTGTCTATGATAATGTAAAAGACCGGATAATCTAGCCAATGACCTGTTATCCTCAAATGTTGACAACGCATCCAGACTAATATTCGTAGAATATTTTTCTGGATGATAGAGACTACAAATTATGAAATATGTAGTATAAATTACCTGTTCTACATTATTCTGCAGCATACAAATACTATAGTGTTAAAATGTTTTAAGTATACAGCTAGTTCAACAGAAAATTTTAGAATGATTATCCATTATATGCTTCTCAACAAAATATAGAAAACTATAGCATTACTCGATGATACAAGTCAGTTCTATAAGGGCTACATTTTCTATTTCACAAAAAGGAACGACTCTCACGATTGTATATAACGCAGTTTACATTTTCTATTTTACAAAAAGGAACGACTCTCACGATTGTATATAACGCAGTTTACATTTTCTATTTTACAAAAAGGAACGACTATCATGATTGTATATAACGCAGTTTACATTTTCTATTTTACAAAAAGGAACGACTCTCACGCTTGGTTTTAACACAGTTTACATTTTCTATTTTACAAAAAGGAACGACTCTCACGATTGTATATAACGCAGTTTACATTTTCTATTTTACAAAAAGGAACGACTCTCACGCTTGGTTTTAACACAGTTTACATTTTCTATTTTACAAAAAGGAACGACTCTCACGCTTGGTTTGAATGTAGTTTACATTTTGCTCGGATTGCTATTATGATATTTATTAATCTTTACTTTTATTTTTACTTTTATGTCCACCAGCCACGCGAGAAAACAAATGTTTATCCACTTTATAGATGCATAACCTTGACGAACGATTTTTTTCTACAACGTGTTTTATACACCTCTATGAGGTTATGTGTCACGACATTGTTTTTACCACAATTTTCGTGACGTATTGTGTAAAAATCGTTTAAATTGACGTAATTACCATTCCCACACTGGCAACACAACTTAAACCCCCTTTCTCTTATTTATAACTCTGGAACATATTTAAACAAAACTTCAAACAGCTCGACCATTGATTATTACTAAATGAGATCAGAACAACTGAAATCGATCTAATAGATTTGTATTGATATTTTATTTACGCGGGAGCCACGTATGGCTAAATGTGTAGGCTAAGGCGCTGGACCACTATTATTTTTATTACAGCATATTTATAGTGCACCCTTTCATATAACATGTTCAGGGGCACTTTACAAAGTGACAATGTAATCATAAATAAACAACATGATTGTGGACATGTTAACGATTGTATACAGAGTCAGTTAAAAGCCTGATTAGATAAATGTGTGTTTACATTGTTTTTTAAAGGAATATAGAGATGCAGGTACAACATCTTAAACTAAATGGTAGATTAATCCATAAAACAGGTGCTTGTTAACTAAAAGAGCGCTGATCATAAGAGGTTGAACAGTTTTGGGCTTTAAAAGTAGTTTATCTGATGTTGATCGAACACGGTTCTCCCTTGTCAGTTGTGCCAGACGAAGTCCTGGCAAGGTTCAGCGTCTACTCGTTAGTATGGGACGGAAAAAGCGAAATCCTAACGTCCTACTGTTCTGCTCCAAACTGGGCTAATGAAGAAGGGCATACGTCATACAGTGTGCTATGAGGGAAATATTGCCCGGACAGCGGCACTACGGCCTACTCTTATATCGAATTCCAA